CTAGAAGTACCACAGGTGTGAAACCACACAGGCCTTTAAAGCTTGCTGCATGTGCAGCTATAGGACTCACATCTGCCCTGTTGGGTTTTGGACTTGCTTTGGTTCCAATGTTTGCAACTTTTGGAATCCGAATGTTTATCTTGTGTCATTGCATGTTGGAAGTGTTTAACTTTGTTTTCATTTGTATAGGAGCTTGCAGTTAAGATTTGCCTTCTATCTCAGAGGAGATTTGGGACTTGAACTTTTCAGCAATGATGAAACTGTTAGGACTTTAGCTCTTACAGATGCACTAAATGCTTTTGGCATAAAAGATGTGTGTGAGCCTTTGGGGGGGTCAAAGAACAAAATGTTATGTTTCTAATGTAATACAATGTTGATAGACTTAATGCTGGTTCTCAAGGATTGTTAAGATGTGTTATATTCAAGTTGCAAAATATTAAGAATAAACATGCCTTTGTATCTGCAGGCTGGTTTAAAGAATTATGTCTTGCTGCATGTGGTGGTGCACTCCTGTAAATCCCAGCACTTGGGAGGCTGAGGTAGGGAGGATCTTTGCAAGTTTAAGACCAGCCTGGGTAAAAGTGAAACGTGAGCCCAAGGCCAGCCTGAACTGCTTAGTGAGACCCTGTCTCAAAAAAAAAAAAAAAAAAAAAAAAGGGAAGAAAAGAAAAGAAAAAGAAAAAGTGGTGTGGTTGATACATTGTTGTCAACTTGAGAAGTTTTAACTGAGAGGCTCAGCAGGGGGCCAGGATTCTTTGTAAATACCCTCATCCTGAGCAAGAAGGAAAGGAGATTTTTTGAGTGCTACACCAGTCCGGACCGGAGGGAGGAGGAGGGTGTTGACGGCCTGAGCACAATATAAGGAAGGAGAAGAGGCTTGTTCCCCCTTTTTGCTCTGGCTGCTGCTTTGCAGCCAGGTGATTATGGACTGAAACTTCCAAAAAACAGTAAGCTAAATAAACCTTTCCTTCCTTCATTTTGGGTGTCAGGTATTTTGTCTCAGCAGTGAAAGAAAGTCACCAAGCCAGTTACCCTTATGTTGGTGTCCTCCTACTTAAGGAGACAGAGTAAGTCTAGTGGCTGACGTTCCTCTGTGCAGAGCCAAGCAGAAATCTGCCCCAGGTTTTGAGCTGATAAATGACACGTAAGAGGAAGGCAGATGGGACTCGCCCCTTTGTTAGCTACCCTTTGGGCTGTGCAGGTCCAGCTTGAGTCTGCGCCCAGTAGTGTGTCACACTGTGGGGGCGTCTGGGGTCCCCTGCGGGAGTTCAGGCCAAAATGATTATCTCTATATGTCTATTAACTTCTACTCAACATCAACCATAGAACCCAAACATCCGCCAGATAGTGGAGTCTTGTTCAGTTTTGAAGTTCAGAGTCACCTCCATCTAAAATTCCATCCGGAAAAATTCTAAGTCTTTAACAGCAACAACAACAACAACAACAAAGAGGTTGCCTTGTGGGAGTGGCTGTCCTTTACTGTACTGTTTTCCGACCAGGGACTGAATCGCACCTACTCACCCGCCCAGCCCCGGGACACAGCTCTAGAGCACTGAGACCCGCTCGCCGGGCCCGAGGTTGGCTTCGATCCCGGGCCTCCCGCCTCGGCCTCCCGCGTCGCCGCCCGTCAGCCTCTGCCGCCACCGTACAGTGACACAGCCGGAGGCCCGGAAGATGCAGGCGGAGGCGGGGAGCCGGCGCAGCGCTGGGCCCCGGGGGCTCGTCTCAGAGCCACAGGCCCCCGCGGGAAGGCAGCCCACGCGCCGTGACGGCGCCCCGCGGGAAGGCAGCCCTCGAGCAGCGCCGGCCACTCCGCGGCTGCCGAGCTCTGCCCAAATTCTCGCGGCTCTTAACGGCATCGCTACGCTTCTGCTTCCGTCTTTTCATGTGGCGGTTCTTAGGACAAAAGTGTGAAAGTTAGTATTTGGGGGTCGGCTTGCTGGCTGCAGGAAGGCTGTTCCCTTTCCTTTGTGTTCCAAAAGTGGGAAGAAAAAGGGATGTGTCAGAAGTGGGATTCGAACCCACGCCTCCATGCGGAGACCAGAACCCCCACGTACGGGAAGCAGAGCTTGAGTCTGGCGCCTTAGACCACTCGGCCATCCTGACACCCTATAGGGGAAGCCCAATCTTACACTAAAAAGGGTTCTCAGAGAGCGTCTGCGCGGCGCACGACGATGACGTCAGAGCAGCTCGGCAACAGCAAGCCCGCGGCGCGCCGCAAGCTGCCGGGAATTTACGGGCGCCGCGAGGGCTTCGCCGGGGGCGGTGCGGCCGGATCGGCGGCGCGCGGGCGGGAGAAGAGCGCCGGGCGGACTCTGCCCCGCGGTGGGGTTTGGGTTTGGGGCTAGGGGAAAGACGAGCACCTTTTTGTTCCTGGCCGCCTTTTACTACCTATCCTGATTCTTTCCTCCTCTCGGTACTGTTGTCCCAGACGTCTCCTTTCTGGAACTGGGCGAGCTGCGGCCGCGGTGGCGGCGTCGGCACCGCGGGCCTGCGGGCTTCACCATGTGCTGGGCCCGGCCCTGGCCGTCAGGAGCCTGAGGAAAACCGCCGCCGCCCGAAGGGCCGGAAGGCCTGGAGTCACAGAGACCCGGGCCCGCATCTGACTGCGAGCTCAGAGACTGCTTTGAATAAATTTATTTTTATTTACAAGTTCATTTAACCCCATTCAAAATGGGTTTGTTTTAGGACTTCACAATTGCCAGGCAGGCTCTGCGCCACTGAGCTAAATCCCCAGCTCCAAAATTGGCTTCTTAAAAGACTTTTAAAAAAGCAACAGCAAAATTTATTTTTAAAAAAGCAGAGAACGAGAGGAAAAAACTACCTCTGCAGAGCGAGTTAGGGCTGAGTAAAAGAGAAAAAAGCAAGTTAAAAGTGCACTCTGAAGGACACAGGCTGGACTACGGTGAGGAAAGGTACACTAGTCTTACTTAGATAACCTGTGAATCCCCCACCCCACCCGGAAGTAATCACTAAAGCACATCGACTTCTCTCCTCCCTCTTCTGCTGCACACCCCATAGAGAACCGTGGTCCTGTTCATATGATCATGCGGGTATCATTAAGAATGGTCTGGGACGTTTTCTGTTGAGCACTATTAATCAGATTTACCCTCATTCACATGGAAAGCAGCATAGCTAGGTGTGACAAGCTTGCTTATCTCTGCTGCAACTGCTTTGAGCCTTAACAGGGAACAGAACAAACAGCGGGTGTGAGATGGCCTGTGGGCATCTAGGGTGTCGACCAAGGTCTCTTCTGTGGATGCACCTCCAGGATCAGCCACACAGATGGTGTCCTCTCCTGGACCTTCACTCTCCTTCCTGCAAGGTGGACTTAAGTGACAATGGGATGTGGTTCTGACATGCTCCCTTTGCCATCCTGCAGGGGCTGTGGACAGGGACCAAAGGCCAGTAGGCTGCTGTGTGTTCTGCCCCTGGCCACACAAAGCAGAGCAGAGGCCACACAGCCACAGGCAGAACTAGAGATGTTATGTCCAGCGCAGTCTGAGTCCTGGCCATGCTGCTCCCTAGCTGGGCACCTGAGAGGTCTCCCACACACTATGTTTCAGTGTCTGTATCTATACAATCAAGGAATAGTGTTTCATAAGGTAGTTACGTGCCTTCAACAATGACAGTGAGTAGAGTCCTTGCTGCTGTGCCAAACGCTGCTTCCCCTTGGCACTTTATGGCACGTATGCATTAGTTTACACATTCGTGTACCGCAATATTCAAAACAAGGTAACTAGTGTTATGGATCCCCCACTGACAGCCTTGGTTGTATTATTTCTATTAAAGGCTGCTGAATAAATTAGGACACTATCCTCAACTCATGGGCCTTGGCCATGGAACCCCAATGTGTAGACCAGGAAAAGTCCAGAGCCATGGACTCTTACCGAACAGCAGCAAAGATCCCAATTCCTGGGAACAGGGCTGTCTCAGCTTGATCATTCCTCCTTAGCACATGACTGCTCCCCCAAGGGCTTAAGATTCTGGTTCTGCACTGGGGAGCATTTTGGACTCTCTGACCTCTTATAAGTGGGTCCATTATCCCACCACCAGTTTAAGAAAACATAGACGTTGACACCACACTTTCCCAGTTAAATCATGGGCTTAAGCAATAGGAGAGTTATTGTGCAGAGCTATCTATTTTTTTTTTTTTTTTGTCTTTTTCGTTTTTACCGGTACCAGGGATCGAACTCACGACTGCCTGCTTGCAAGGCAGGCGCTTATGCCGCTGAGCTAAATCCCCAGCCCCAGAGCTATCTATTACCTTCTCAGGACTCTTAGCAAATGAGCTTTACCACCTAGATGGAAGAAGATACCAGAATGAAACCCAGGATACACACTGGAAATCACAGGATTCCACCCACTCTCAGTCTGCGACCCGAATCTCACCAGGATCTGGGAAATGATGGAAACAAACATCCATCATCCGATTTGTTTCTCATCAAGGGCAGGTCCTCGGGGAGAGCCAGAACTAAGGGCATCCTGGGGACAAGCTGCCCTTGGAGCACACATATCAGGAAGGCCAAGCCCTGTCCCCAATAGGAAGTGGACAAAAATGAGAGGGCTGCAACAGATGCCTGGACACTGGCCGGGACTCTGCAGGGATGGTGTGTGGCTGACCAGGGCACTAGCACCCAACGCCCATTAGCACAAGGGGAGCAGGCAAAGCCCTCTGGGACCACAGAGAGGGACACTGGTGAGAACACCCACTCATGGTGGAGATGCTGTCGTTCTCACCGTTTCCATGAAACAACCGTAACACCAACACATCAGCCTCATTAATGTATCAATGAAACTTTGCAGACAGAAAGTACAGGGTAGAGGTAGTGAGGCACAGGGAGCCATGCTGAAAGGCCTCAAAGCTTCTCAGGAAGGAGCCCTGGCCTGGAATTGACAAGTAGCCTCCAGGACCCAGGCTGAGCCGGGGGAGCAGCCTCAGAGCCCGCTGCACTCTGCACCTGCTCCAGATGTGTGTAAAACCCCAAGCGTGAAAGACAGCGGGTGTCCAGTTTTATTTGTAGGCAACACTGATACTTCTCATTACAGCTCACAACCTGCACAGGAAGAGGACAGGCCCCAGGGAGCATGGACATCCTCTGTGGTGTGGTGAGGGCAAGGACACGTGGACATCCAGTCCTGATGGGCCGAGGTGATACTCAGCAGCCGGCCAGCCTGCGTGCCTGAGTTCTGCCCCTCACGGGGAAGTCTCCATGGAGCGGCCACGACTTCCAACATGGCCCGAAAAACCGTCGATGCCGCTCATGGGACAGATGACGAGAGGTGCCGCGCTCTTTCCACCTGAGTAGCTCAGGCTGAAGTAAGGCCGCACCGGCCCGCAGAAGGTGGCATGGGAGAAGGTGAAGGTGTGGCACCGCTCAGTCACGTTGTAGAAAGACACCTCCCCGGCGTCGTAGTCCAGGAAGATGCCCACACGCTGCAATGGGCTCCGCAGCGGCAGCGCCGTCATCGGGGAGGTGAGTGCCCAGTACTCCTTCCCATACCATAGCGACACAGCCCAGAACCCATTCTGCGGGGCTGAGGTCACGCCGCCCTTCCGGCACACTGAGTCTTCGCAGACGCCGATGGTCCACTTGGCCTTGTCTCCCACCTCGACCTCCCAGTAGTGGCGCCCAGCGATGAAGCAGGGGGAGCCCAGGACACAGGGGAATAGGTTGAAGCGCTCGGGGTTGTCGGGCAGGTCCTGCTGCAGGTAACTGTACCGCACCTGTCGCAGGTTGTCTGACAGGATCAGGCTGGGGTAGGCAGTGTCCGGGTCCAGGGTCACGTCCACTGCAGGACAAAGCAAGATCAGCCAAGATACAGGGATGCCGAGGACACTGCCCCAGCCTAGGGCCAGGGGCCCAGCTGGGATATGCACTGCATTTGGGTCAAAGGGCTCACTCCCAAAGTTATTGCGGCGACTAACAACGTAGGAGAGCACGGAAACCTTACCTTGTTCCCTTCCCTCTGCCTCCTGAGCCACAGTAGCCATTGTATGCTGAGGTGCTTTCCTTGCCTGCCCTCGATCCCTTAATATGAAAGCTTCCGAGGTCCCAGTGAGATTCTGCCTCGCACCCTGTGATCAGCATTAGCAGATCTGCATGCAATGCTTAACGCTCACATCCTGCAGGGTGAAGCTACAACAGCCCTGCATGCAATGTTGCTGCCGTAATTAACCTGCTGTGGAATAATGGAAACAACTCTGCTCTCAGAAACCCAGGAATCTGGACCTCTGGGTGAGGGACTTATATCTGCACTGGTCTGTCCAGCCTTCAAATCACTGTTGGCTTATTCAACGCGACCTACACTCTCTATGTCCAGTGCTATCGCTCTTCTAAGGCCCTGGTTTCCACGTGGTTTTGCTTAACCAGCCCACATTTTTTCTATTGGAGATTAAATCTAGAGCATTGGCCCTGAGCTACATCCCTAGACATTTATCTTTTTAAGAGATGATCTCAAGTTTCCCATTCTGCCTTGGCCTCTCATAGAGTGGGGATGACAGGCATGTGCCACCACAACAGCTTCCACTCTTCTTGGTGTTAAATCCAAAGCTGTATCCCTGCGTCACCTCCCCTGGTGCTCAGACACTACCTCCACAGTCAGTGGTGCCTTTCTGTGCCGGAGCCCTCACCTTCACATGTGCTCAGGAGGGTGAGTCAGGATAAGGAGTCCCCAAATGGCCTAGCCCCACTCCTAGGAGTGCATAAGGATGACCAAGAATCCCAGGATCTTTGGTTTCTGTCTCACAGTCTATCCACAAGAGGCATTGAACCCGGGGCCCTGGACACAAGCTGAGCTCCCAAGCTGTCGGCTCCGCTCCTCTCCCATGCTGTGTGCTCACACAAGTAACCCATCGTCCATGGCAACCACTAGGGCAAGACTCTGTCCCCTGTGGCGCTGGGGCTCAAACCTCGGTCTCGAGCATAGGGCAGTGCTCTTCGACCAGGCCATACCTGTCGGCTTGCACAGTTAGTGCAGGATGCAAGCACAATGCACAATTCCTCTCACTGAGGGGACGAAACACAGGTGGTGGCCAGTGGGGACCGGAGTGACCTCAGTGTGCAGTGGTATCCCCTCATGAAGGGGCTGCATGCAGCACTGGTGGCTGTGGTGCCAGGGTTCACACCACAGGGGCATCTCATGGGGACTCTCAGGTGCTCCCTGCCCTTGGGGTGATCTCGGGGGCAGGCAGGGCCTAGTCCTCCACCTAGGAAGAAGCAGTGTCCTCTCCATGTGCTGTAAGCCCCAACATGTCTTCCCTCATCTGTGCCACCCTGGCACAGGTGACCTGCAGGTCACACAGAGGCAGGGCCCCCAGTCCGTTACTGTGGCGGCGAAGTTCACAAGGCTTTTACTCCTTTCCCCATCACCTACCTGAGTATAACTGCGCTTCTCTCAACTCTGAAAAAAGAGACAAGGTGTTATGAAGGCCACAGATGTTTCTCAAAGTCTGTGACCAAAGGGGCACTTGCTGGCCACTGAAAGCTGGAGTCCCTCCCAGAGACCCTGCCTCCACAGCGCTGACCCTGGCACCGCCCCAAGCCCCAGGTAACAGGATGACAGCCAACCAGCAGGGCCCCATTAGAACTCGACATGCATGTCCATGCCACCCAGAGGATGGGCATCCCCAGAGGCACTGCCCAGGGACCAGGCAGGCGCCGAACCCAGGCAGGCCCAGGGACACAACCAGCTCCTGAGTGGCAGTGGCCTTGGAGCAGGGAATCGGGACTGTGAAAGCCTCCCCCAGATGCCTGGGAGACACTGGTATATCTGGCTTCATCCTGAGATGAACCTCACGACCTCTGTGTGCTAAGAATCATGGTTTCCCTCTCCCTGCACAGATGCAGCAGGACAATGCTGACCCTGCACTGAGGCGCGAGGCTTCCACCTGTGCCTCAGGTGACACACAGTCCATGCTGCACACACACAGACGCCAGCACACGTAGCCAAGCACTGTCTGTTCTGTGCCCTGGGTCAGTCTTTTCACGGCCTCTTGCCCTCCCTCCATTGGGAGCCAGAGGGTAGATGAACTCTTATGGGCTTCTCGAGGGAACAGGGCTGATTGCTGGGAAGTGTATGGGGCCCAGTGGGACAGGACACAGATCTCTGTCCTCCCCAGAAAACCCAATGGTGAAGTGCAGGCGGGAAGGCATTTTACCTTGAATTTTCTCCATATCCGACTGCATTTTTTCTAAGGAGAGAAAAGAAGATACTCAGCTATACCGCACATCTGCATACCAGTACTGGACAATATACACCCCTCAGGCGATCCACAGACATGGAAAGTAAAAGATCTATTGTCCCTCATGACCCCGATTCTCAGAGTTATTACCTGTGAACTGCTTCAGACTCTCTGTCAGGAACAGGCATTTTTGGGCAAAAATATGGATTTTCTCTTGCAGATCTGGAGGCGTGATCCAAGGGTCAGGGATCCTGATTCTTTCAGCCCTAAATTTAAAGAAATCAGATGAATCCTTCCCCAAATTCCAGCATCTTCTGTGGGCCAGAACAGTCCTGGGCTAAGTTCCCCGAAGCTACTGGATATTCTTGGGACCAACTACTGTTAACTGGCAGTTTCTCCTCCTAGATGTCAGCCTCTAACCAGAACAAGGGAGTGTCCTTACACATTTTCATTTCCCCCAAGGCACTACCAGCTCACGGGTTCTCAAACAAGATTTCAAAAAGGTCTGCCGCACTCTGGGACGCTGAATCTGGAGGATTTTACAAGTTCAAGTCCTGCGTGCGCAGTTCAGTGCAACCCTGACTTAAAAAGTACTGGGAACACAATCCAGTGTGGGCTTGCAGGGTAGGAATGGGGGGACTTATTGCACTGAATTATGAGGCTGACCCTGCCAGAGATCACCAGGTTCTAAGATGCAGCCCTTGCTATTTACAATGGGCAACTGCCCATTGTTCAGATTCCCCACAGGGAGAACGATACTTTCAGACAGACAGACAGGCAGGCCGGCCCTCTGTGAGTTCAGCACCAATGCCCTTACCAATCTAAGCGTTTACGCAAAGTTTGTTTCCTGCCCGTCTGGTGTCCTCCCAGCTCTGTGGCTCAGGGGGCCAAGTCCTGTGGGTCTAGATGTGACCACATTTCAGCCCATGAGAGGGCAAGTGCTCCCAAGCAGTCTGCTGGGATTAAGTTCCTTTCTCCTGAGTGGATCCAGCAGCGGTCCAGTGTGGGCCAGACCTCAGGGAGGGTGGAACAGGCCAAGAAACGGAGCCAGGGCCTTCATGAATGATGTCCCTCACCTCTGTTTTATTTTGACACAGAGTCTCACTTACTAAGGCACTACTAAGCTACTCAGGCTGAGCCACCAACCTGAAACCCTCCTGCCTCAGCCTCTCAGAGTGATGGACTTACAGACATGTACCGCTGTGCCTCTAGAAACCAGTCTTTAGGCTGACTAGAGCCACCAGCCCTGCACTAGGGCTGCCTACCTGCACACTTCTTTGATGGTGATCACTTTCTGTTCTGCTCAAGCCCCAAGCCAGTGACAGTTTGGGCCCTGTCTCAGTCACACATTGCTAGGGTCTGCAGCGTCTGCCCCACTATCAGAAATTGCCTGACAATAGGGCAGCAGAACAGTTGTTTCCGTGGAATCATCTGGATGAAACTGGCAAGAATTCCAACTTATCTCCACCCCTGGAATCCTCAAAGCCGCCGTCCCCTCAGCAGATTGCCCACGCAGCCTCCCACCCAGGCCTCCCAGCCCCGAGGCGGCTTCTCTTTCTCACTGATTTTCCCTGCACCTGCGCTGTTCCCCACGGCTGGCTGTGCCCCTGCCTGCTCTCTGCCCTTCAAGCTGTCCCAGCTCCCCTTCCTCGGCACTGAGGACAGAACCCGGGTCTTACCTGGGCCTTGCTTTGCTGTGTGCTGAAGTGCCCCCAACCCTGGCTTTCTGGCTGATGGCAGAGCGGGGAACGGGGTAGGCCCTGGAGCCCATGGCTCTCCTGTAACTGCTAGGCCTCGCTGCCCCTTGGGTAAAGTACATTCTACAGGAAGTGGGGGCCCCCTCTGTCTTCAATGTCTCTACATAAGTGTCCCCACCCTTGGCCACTAGCACCAAACCTGCGGTGAACCACCCCACTGCCACCTGTCCCAAATCCCATGGCCTCCTGGGTGAAGCCCTGTACCCCGGGGCTCCTCGTCAGCAGTGGGGGGGGGGGGAGGGTGACAAAGTTGAGCCAGGTGATGCTCATGTGCCTGATTTTAACACTGGGGAGAGGGGTGGGGATGGGCTCCGCAGTAGGGCTCTTACCTTCTATACACAAGGCCCTGGGTTTGATCCCCAGCACCACACACAAAATAACTAAACACACAAACACACCCAAGGGAGAACCCCTACCTGCTCAGCGTGTCCCCGATGTCCTAGGAGAGAAAGGATGCCGTGAGAAGTCATAAATAACTCCAGCTCCCCCCAGAGAGACAAGAACCAGGGAAATGAAGCAGTCTCCAGGAGTGGGAGACAGACTGGAGGAGCCAGGACTTCCTCACCAACTGCCCATCTGCTTGGCTTTCGATTTTCTTTCTTTTTCTTGCCTGGCTTTCACTGTGAAATACATTCAGACTGCAGGTCAGCTATGCACACGAACAGCTACAACTCTGTGTTACTCTCTCCTGGCCTATCAGCCTTTAATCACTCAGCTGACTTATCACATCTTTAGAACCACAAGAGCCCTGTTCCACGCTGCCCCTCCGTGCTTCCCTGCACTGCTGCCTAGCACAGTGCTCTTCTCAGGCAGGCACAGCTCAGGGATCCAGTCCTGGACACTGAGCAGCTGCACACGTGTGCACCCCACCGCTAGGTCTCGGCTGCTGCTTGAGGATAATTGGTCCTCTCGGCCACCACATCCTGTCCACATGGCAGCCAGGGCCACACATGGGCTCGGTTACCACCAGAACCATTCTTTTGCCTCTACCTCAGTCCCTGTCATGCAGCACTGCTGAGGAGACCTGCACGCCGATCTGGTCACCTTCTGCTCTCAGTGCTGATGCATAAAGAGCACACATCTGGGCCCAGGTTCCCAGCAGCTTAGAAACCCGCTCAACTAGGTCCTCGACATGAGGCCCAGGAACCAGACGCAGCCAGCTCCAAACAACTCACAGGAAGCCTGGTCCCCCTCCCTAACACTGGGCTTGCCCAATCCCCACGGCAGCCTCTCCCCAGGCCACCACCCTGTGAGCCCTGCTGTCCCTTCCTGAACTCTTCCCTCTGGGTCACTGCCTCCCAGGGCAACTCCACACTGGTGTGTGCTGCACTCAGCTCTCCTGTTCTACGAGGGGTCTACACACAACTGCATAGCCAGGCGGCCAGAGTGCAGGCTCCACAACCAGTGGTCACAACACTTGAGACTCACTGCTGTGGGAGAGGTCATGACAGACGTCATGTCCTAACTCAGGCACAATGGGGCCAGTGAGAACCAGACACTGTGTTTGGAGTTTCCAGAATTTCACCCATCATCAAACATTCTGGTTCTCCTCACCTGAGGACCTGCAGAAAGGCTAGTTGGGCTATCCTGGGGTCTGTCCCTTCCTCCGATGTCTGTCACCAGCTGGCTGGGTCTGCTTACTGCCTGCAGCCTCCTGTGAGTCTCCATACCACCCCAGACCAAAGATGTCAAGTGATCACGGGCTCCATGTTCCGAGTGAGCAGAGGACTCAGAGTTGGCCGGCTATTCTGGCCCTAGGGCCCTGTGGTTGGCTGGAGCCCAGCGCAGCACAGGTGGCCACTCCTGCCACGTGAGATTGTGCTATGGTACCGAGACGCAGTAAAGTTATGGGAGACAGAGTCTGGGGGTGTGAGGGGCACAAGGGTAAAGCCGTGCGGTCCTCCCGGCTGCCAGGGCCATTGGAGGTCAAGGCGGCACCTGGGCACAGTCTGCTTACGCAGGCTTCCTCTGGCCTCTCCATGAACCATGCTCGATGGTCCACAGCGTCGGCCTCAACTTCCAGAGCTTCTGTCCAATACACCTGGTGCCGAGTGTGGCCACCCACATCCATGGAGGCCTGGGGACGTCCGTCTCACCTGCAGCAGCTCCCTGGTGGGCTGGCGCTGCTTCTCCTCCAGTTGCGAGATCAGGCCGCTGAGGTGCGAGATGTTGCAGGAGAACTGGGTGATGGCACCATTGATGCTGTTGTAGATGGCCAGGTCTAGCTCCTCGAGCCGCGCCAGGAGCCGGTACTCCTGCTCCTTCAGGGAGTGGTACAGCTGCTCAAACTCCCAAACAATCTTCTCCCGCTCCATCTGCGTGAGGCTCTGCAGGTAGGAGCCCCGGGGGAAGAGGATGGTGTCACCTGGGGGGCCTCGAGGTCCTCCCTGGGAACTAGACACATGTGCACTGCACCCTATGCCAGCCCTCCCCGGGTAAGAATGTTGGGGCCGAGTTCTCCTAGCAGAAGAGCACTGACTGGGGAGTCTGGTGCATGTACCAGCCACTTGTCAGTACTGGGGATGCCCAGCATTCTACACCACAAACAGGATGAATTGGACACTAGGCTCACGCCAATCACGAGTTCAGGGCCAGCTTGGGCAAATGGCGAGACCTGGCTCAGAGTGAGTGGTACATAAGGGCCAAGGTGTGGGCAGGGTCCAGTCTCCCGGGTTGGGGGCAAAGAGACCCCTAAAGGCAAAGATAAGATCATGCCTCCTGACAGGCCACAGGGAAGGATTTTCTGCAACTGAGTTATGCAAGATGGTTGCACTGGAAGCTGTCACACTGAGATGACAGGCCAGGCTGTCCCGTGGACACGGGGACAGCATGGCCCCCACAGCTCTCTGCTGGGCTGTTGGCTGCGGTCCGTCTGTCCTTCCTTCTCACCTCATCCCACTGTCGGACACCAGTAAGTCACATTCTACGTGAGGGATCAGCAAACAGGGAAGGGAAGACTGCGTTGCTGGACTCAGCTGCTTCTGAGACCCAAGACAGTCTGCCACACAGCCCCCAAAGCCTCCCCAGCCCTCGAAGGAAGGTTCGGTGTCCACTGCTCTGAGCCCCTCCGCTGCCCCCTCCCCACCTGCTGAGCACAGGCTCGGTTCAGTCTGCGCCAGTCGGCCTCACAAGCAACCTCAGACATAGAAAGTAAAACTCACAGGGCCCTTAAAGAGAAAGGGTTTCTCCAGAGGAGCGCTGTGCGGACCCGAGTCCAGCCAACCCCACTGCACAGATGAGGAAACCGAGGTGCAGCAGTGACTTCACCTCCTCCACCTGAATGACTGGCAGGTGTGGCCTGTTAGGGACAGCCGAGGGTCCCTCTGGAGTCCTCCAGGCCACTGTGTGGCGGTACTCAGGAGTACTTGGGACAGTGCCCATCAGAGGCTGTTTTTTCTGCCTCAGACGGAAAGCTCTGTACCGTTTCACTATCCAAAATGTTTTAAGGACTTAGGCAGAGAGCATGCAAATACATAACGGTCTCTATTTAAAAACTAAAGCACCAAACTCCTCCCCTAGGCTTGGCACCTCGGGCACCGGAAGAGAGTAGGCGTTGCAGCCTGGAGTAAGACCAGGAGCATGGAGAGGGGCCCAGGGAAAGTCCTCACCAGCAGCTCGGCCCGCGCCTGCTCGCCCTGAGCCCGGCGCCTCTTTTTCAGGTCTTTCACTCTTCTCAGGTGGTCCAGCTGGCTCTGGATTTGCTCCTGGGAAAGCAGAACATGAGAACATGTGTGTAGCCCGAGGCGGGCCCAGGGGCATCCTTATCACAGGACTGCCTGCCCGGAGTCCGGGATCCGAGCCCAGCTTCGGCCCATGGTTGCTCGCGCACCGGGGCCCTCCTCCGGCAGAAGTCACCCTCCAGCTCGCGAAGGGTAACAGAACTGACCTAACTCCTCACTGTGCTCCCGGGGGCACGGGTGGGCGCCCCTTCTAGCCTCCCCCAGGGTAGTTGGGGAGAGGGGCGGGGGAGCCCCCCCCGATCGCGCATGCGCACCTTCGCCCTGCCCCAGGACCAGCGCGGATCTTCTGCGCCCGGGGCCTCGGGCTCGAGCCCGCGTCGCGTACAGCACGCGTGAAGCTCCGTGGCGGCCCTGCCCGGCCTCACCTTGAAGCCGTCCACTGCCTCCTCCAGCGGTAGCACGCTGTGGCCGCGGTGTTCGCGCGAGCGGTCGCACACCACGCAGATGGGCGTGCGGTCCTCCTCGCAGTACAGCTTCAGCGGCTCGCGGTGCTTCTCGCACGCGCCCATCTCGCCGCCCGGGCCCGGCGCGCGCTCGGCGCGCAGCTGCTTCACCAGGCGCGTCACGTTGGCCAGGGGCCGGTTGGGCCGCAAGTGGCGCTGCGGGAAGGCCTCGCGGCACTGCGGGCAGCTCACGTCGGTCTCGGCCGCGCCCCAGCAGCGCGCCAGGCAGGCACCGCACACGTTGTGGCCGCAGTCAAGCATCATTGGCTCCACAAAGTACTGCAGGCACACGGGGCAGGTGGTCTCCTGCTGCAGGCACTCGGCCACGCTGGCCGCCGCCATGGTGCCGCCGGCCCACGCGGGCTCGCGGCGCACAGGACGACGACGTGGCCGGTCTCGCGGGTCCGGCGGGCGTGCAGACCCCGCCCCACAGCGAGCGGAAGAGGCGGCCGGGGGCGGGGCCTGCGGGGCTGCGGGCGGGGTTCGGGGTTCGGAGCTCCGGGCTAGGAGCGCCGACCTTCCTAGCCGGGGCTCGCGTGGACCCTTCTCCCCTCCGCAGGCGCGCGCTCCAGCCTTCGCGCCTGACGTGGGGCTGGTTATGCCCACGCGCGGAGGTGACGTGCGAGGATGTGAACCAGTAGCGCAATAAAACCGGGCCAGAGCGCCGGCACGCTGGGCAGAACTAGGGACCTGCGCCGCCCTCGGCGGTGCAGACCCAGGCCACAGGCTCCACGCGCGCCTCGGCCTACGCGTCCGCCCGGGGGCGGGACTTCCGCCACGCAGGGGGCCGGGACCCGAACCCCGCAGCGCTCCAGGAGGACGCGCGCCGCCTGGGCCAGGAGCTGGAGCGCGGAGGGGTGGCGTGGGGTTAGTGGCACTGCAGGCGAGGCGGTGCCGGGGTGAAGGGTGAAGGCCGCGGTTCCCACCTGGTCTGTCTTTTTCAGACGTTTACATGTCGCTGAGGAAGGACGGGAGAAAGCAGGTAGGAAGCTGTGGGTCTAAGGGAACTGTGGCTTGTTCCTCAATAACAGTACGGAGGGCTCCACCTAGAGCCCTGACATGAACTACGTCCCCAACCCCTTTGACTTTTTGTTTTCTGGCAGAATCTTGCTAAATTGCAGGGTCCACAGTGCTGGGATTCCTAGTCCTAGCCGGGCTAGGATGTTTTAGTTTTGTGGCATAATCAGTCTCCTAAATTACCTATAACTTTCCTTTGTAGGCTTATACTTATCTGGTTAGTAGGGACTCATAACTGGCAAATTCTTCAGAATCTTTTTTGTTTGTTTTTGAGACATGTCTTGCTATGTAGTTCAGGCCGGCCTCGAACTCATGGTGATCCTCCTACCTCATCCGGTACGCAGCGATTAGAGGTCAGTGCTGCCACACCTGCCTTCTCAGAATCTTAAGGCTACTATAGCTCTATACAATCCAAAAATTGGCCCAGTGCAGTGGCCTAGGTTTGTATTCCCAACACCTGATAGGCTGGAGCAGAATTACAAGTTCCAGGCCAGGCTGGACTAGACAGATCTGGTCTCAAAAAATCAAAACAAAAACGAACAAAAATCCCAAAGTTTCACCAAGGCTTCAGTTTTCTAAGGAAACAGTACTCATGCGTCAGGCGCACCGCCTGACAGCAAGCAGTGGGGAACTTCGAGTTTTATGATGTGGTTTTAGCTGTGTTTTCACGACTCCTCTGGAGGACGATCCCCGTGGTGCTGATGTGGAAATTGTGTGGCGGAGTTACAGGTGCATATGCAACTTGGCCAGTGAAACTCAGCACTCCCCAGTGATGTTCAGCTGCCCATATGCATGCGCCTGGGAAAACAGGCTCCGTCACTGAGCAAATAGGTAAGTGTTAATTATTAATACGGGTTTGTGCTGTTTCATAAAATTACTTAGTACCTTAAAGTAGCTTTTTGGCAGCCGAGGCATAGGAAATGCAATGATGTAACAAATCTTTGATAGCCGGGCACAGTGGTGCATGCATGTTATCCCAGCACTTGGGAGACAGGCAGGAGGATCTCTGAATTCGAGACCAGCCGGGGTTACAAAGTGAGCTCAAAGCCAGCCTGAATTGCATAGTGAGACTCTTGTCTCCTAATGACAAAACCAAACAAAAAAACTTTGATATTGTTATATTAAAGATATAAGTAATGTTATATTGTTATAGTTACATATACAGTATTTCATAAAAGACTGCTAATGCATTCATTTTTATGTTCCAGCCAGGAAATTTTGTTACTTAGTATACGAATAACCATTTCATATGCATGAAGCCGGAGACAACTCTTCACTCAGTGCAGTGCAGGGAAGATGTCCTAGTTACTTAGCTGTCCTCCTTACTTTTCTCCTTGCTGAGACAAAATACCTGCTATCCAAAGATAAAAGGGGAAAGTTTGTTTTGCTGACAGCTTTAGAAGGTGTCAGTCCATAGTCTGCTGGCTCCAAGGTAGGTTGGTAGAGAGCAAAGTAGTTCATGGTGGGCAGATGTAGCAAAGCAACAAGGGACCTTACTAGGGTCTCTCTTTTTATCATATCCAGACTACTTATCATTCACACCCTTAATCCTTGAGCCTATCATTGCACCATGAATCAATTCTGGTGCCATACAGTCTATCTAGATCCAGTGTTGTGGTCATGGATTGCAAGGAAAACAATTACATAGTGGACACATAATTTATAGTAGTATTTTTTTTTTTTTTTTTTTACCAAATCCATGTTACTTCAAGGATAAAAAAATTTATAGTATTTATTTATTTGTTGTCTTTTTCCTTTTTATTGGTACCGGGGATCGAACTCACGACTGCCTGCTTGCAAATCAGGCGCTTATGCCACTGAACTAAACCTCCAGCCCCCAAATTTATAGTATTTATAATGTTCACCCAAGGAGTCAAAAGAAAGAAATCTGTCTATATAAAGACCTAGAGAAACCAACCAAGGACCCAAATCTCTTGGCAGTGTTCTACATGAATCCAGTTGGAGACCTAGAGCCCATGGCAATGTCTCATGCAAGTCTGTTTCACAGATCTGCACTGGGAAGACCCCAGTGTCAGTGGTGGAAGCTGGAAAGTCTATGCCAGTGGGATGAAGAATCTGTGTCAGCAGGCTGAAGGTTCTGGTTCTGTACTGGAGCCAGGAAGAGACACCCAGGGTTCCCCCAAAAAGTATCACAGCTACTCAGTGACAAGGTTCCTAGCTTCTCTGATGATAACAGCCAAGTTCATATCAGGGAAGAGAGCATGACAAGTTCCTCCAGGAGAACCAACAGCTCTAAAAGAACTAACAACCTCTGCTCTTTCTCTCTAGGAACCTCTACCCTTTTATGTTGGCAACAACCCTCAGGTGGGCCTTCCACAATCAGCACCATGCTGATGCGGGTCAGCTGGTATTAGAACCTGACCTTGGATTATCAATCCACCACACCCAGCCACCTTTGAAAAGCTCCACCTCTGACTGAATGAGGCTTTGTGGGGACATCTGGACCCAAGCCATAACACAAGCTAAAACCTTGGACACTTGCACCCTGCACAGTCAGTCATTGGGTTGATTCCATACCACTGAACTTCAAACACATGAATTGCTTGTATTTTAAGCCAGTTGAAGTCCGTCTTAGTTTTAATTCATTAAAGAGCAACAATCTGACTTTAAGTGAAAGAGACAGCACATGATTCCAAGACTAGCTTTAGGCAAAGCCTCCCAGATGGTTTGTCTTGAGAACACCCCAGGACCACACAGATCAAGCCCAGCCATGCACCAGTGCTGGTGCCCACACTCGTTGCTCTGAGTGTGCCCTGCCTTTGATCCTAGGGCTGAGCAAGTCCCCCTCCCTCCCCAGCAGCACCCTGATCCCTTCTGGTGACATTTCCTCAGGGAGGTAATGATCTGTTATTCCTCCCTCCTTTTCATTCTGCCCCTTCTTATTCGGAAATCTCGGTTCCTTTTATCTCCAGGACATTGTCTAAACCCTTTAATACACAGGCCTGACAAAAGCATGATACAAATTTTATTGATAAAATGTTTTTGTTTTAAAATAAATTCCTGGCCAAGCATGATGTGCATACCTGTAATTCCAGGCTGAGCTAGGAGGATTGCCATGTTTAGGGCCAACAAGGGTTATATAGTGAGCTTGAGGACAGCCTGGACTACATGGTGAGTCCCTGGTGTCAATAAATAAAATTAAAACAAAATAAATTCCTAACTGGACATAGTGGCACACACCGATAAGTAACCCCAGCACTGGAGACAGACACTGGTCCATCAAGGGATCCTTGGGGTGATAAGCTTTACATGCTCAGGGCAGTGTTGGTTGCATGGGATTTACACTCACAGTGAAACTGCACACAACTGAACGTGCACACACGCGCAGGGAGACACTGCTGCAAATAAAAATGGTAAAATTGAAGTCTGTAGCGTCACCGTCAGTCTCCTGGTTGTGAAGTATGTTTACACCAGATGTTAACGCCAGGAGCTATCCAAGGTCGCTGAGGCAGAGTTATCCCCTGAGTGTACCAGTTCAGCAGCCAACCCGGGCGACACGGTGAGATGGGTCTTACAAAAGCTTTGGGAGCGGCTGGGTCAGAGAAGCATTATGTTTTTATAAAGACGGTCTTTCTGATTCCGATGCTCCGAGCCCGCCGCCTTCCGCCCTCCTCTTCGCAGTCTCGCCGCGGTCGCCCCGCGTGCAGTCCTCGAGGCTCGCTCTCCAGCGCCTCCCCCCTGCCCCGACAGCTGCTGCCCCGTCAGAAAAGATTCTGCCATCAAACACGGCTTCTGGGGCTCCCTGCGCCTGTTTCACGCGGGCGATGTAGTCGCTTCTCGCCCCGGGGCTGAGGTTTCCAGATTCACGCACGGGCTCCGGTCGCGTCCAACCCGATCCCTGCCGGGTCGGCCCGGTCTCCCGCTCTTCCTCCCCCGTCGCGTGCTGCGTCGTCTGCTCTACGGAGGCCGCGCCGGGTCTTCTAGCCCTGAACCCGCCCCCTGTGCTGCTCGTCCCCAAACAGTACAGCGTCTTCTGAGTATTAAGGACAAAACTAGCAGCTTGCCTCCGGGTGTCAGGATGGCCGAGTGGTCTAAGGCGCCAGACTCAAGCTTGGCTTCCCGCATTGGGGGTTTCTGGTCTCCGCATGGAGGCGTGGGTTCGAATCCCACTTCTGACACACTGGTTTTGTAAACACTTATTTTTTTGTGTTCTCTTTTTCCACACTACTCTCTCCTGTTCAGTCGGTCGCCGTGTGCTGCGCCCTCGGCTCGCTTTCTTCCTCAAAGTCGCGGCGCCGCCTGTGGGCTACCCGGGGTAGGAACCAAGGGAGGGGCGGGCCAAAGGATACTTGAGACCCTTGCCCAGGCCAGCACTCTGTCCTCGCTGCCACAATTACTAGAAAAGTGGAAGCCAGGTCTCGCGGTGGCGCAGTTATCCTTGTTCGGGGATGCAAAAAAACGAGGAACAGCACAGGTTCCACCGAGATTTGAACTCGGATCGCTGGATTCAGAGTCCAGAGTGCTAACCATTACACCATGGAACCTCGCTGGCTAAGTCTCTCGTCCACCGGCCCTCGGCCTTAGAGTTGTCGCAGCCCTCCGGGCCGCAGGGCGCAGGCGCAAGCCGGCCTCTCAGGTCCCGGCGCCCTGCGCTCCGGACAGTGCCGGGCGGCTGTGATCCGACGGTTTGGACACGTCGGGACCTTCCCCACGCTTCCTCCGCCACACTCCTCCCTCCTTCCCCTGCACCCTCCAGGGTCTCCCGGTCCCCGCTGTGCGTGTGGAGGGCACACGAGCGCGTTACCAGGCCGGGACGTCGCGGAGCCAGCCTGGGGTCTCCACGGCCGGGTCTTGGTCTTGCGAGGACCGAGGAGGAGGACCATGGAGGATCATGGAGGATCATGGAGGAGGCCGTGGCGTAGGCGGTGGGGGGCGCCCGTGCTGCGCGGGCGCGGGCTCCCGTAGTTCTCTCCCCGCGTGGGTCTTTTGTGACACTGTCACCTGAGCCAGGTGCTGCACCAGACAGCTGCCCCGCGCACAGTGGGCGGCAGGGCCCGGAGGGAGGCTCCTGGCCTGGCAATCGCCGCCGGGCGCCCCGCTCACGCCGCTCTCTTCCCGCCTGGGCCACGCAGACCCCTGCGCGGCTCCCAGGGCCTGAGCCGGGGGCGGCGCCCTCGGTACTTTCCGTGCCGCTGTCTTACTAGGAGAGAAGGAAGGGGGCTGATAGGCGGGCCGAGGCGTGGAGCCGGTCCTGGGGCACTCGGGGCCCTGGAGGCCGCGTCCGCGCCCCACCTTGCGAGGACCATTCCTGCAGCCCGGCTGCTCGGCGTGCCGCGTGCGGGGCAGGACCACTGAAGAAGGCGCACGGACGTGTCCCAGTCGGCGCCCGCGGGGGCTCGCTCGCTCGTCATCTCCGCAAACCAGTTAGACGTTCCTGGTGGAGTTGTGGAGAAAGGCAGAAATGGAGAATTTCCGCAGGCCGGCGGTGCTTGGTGAAGGAGACCTAGCAAGACAGCCAGGGGCTGCGCGCTGTAGGCTGTGATTTCACACTCTCTCACGGGCTGATTAAATCACTTGAGTTGTGATGTAAACATCTTCTCCTGCCAATAGTTCCACCCTCACTGTTTAGTGTGCCTGTGGCCTCCCCTGAAGAGGCTCGCGTGGCGCAGGGCCTCGCTTTTTGCACACGTTCAGGCAGGCGACGATTTGGGTTTCAGTGGCGAGGCATTGCCGAGTTGGGGCCCCAACCCCCGACACCCACGGATAAAGTGATAAAGAGGCTCTGTGGAGCCTGCCTGGGTGATGAAATGTTGCGGAGAGACCTGGGCCAAAAGAACGCTGCGAACCCCTGCATTCGTGGGCTGTTTGCGGGTCCTCGAATTTGGGCCTGGCACGTGTCCTGTGCCGCTCTGGAGGTCGCGCGTGGGAGGAGGAGGGAAGAACACTGTTGGATCACGGGACTTGTGCAAACAGGACATCTACGTTTAGAAGAAAATGATCAGATGGAGGAGGAAAAGCCACTGGCAGCGGTGGGATTCGAACCCACGCCTCCGAAGAGACTGGAGCCTTAATCCAGCGCCTTAGACCGCTCGGCCACACTACCGTCCACGAGAACCCTCATGGCCAATACTTCCTCGGAGTCTCCTGCCCAGCGAGCCGCGGCCTGGCGGTTGTGGCGGGGCAGGATGAGGTGGTGCAGATCGAGCTCCAGGCTGAGGCTGGGGCTCCGGAGGTCCGGAGCTCCGCGTGGGCTTCCGGCGCCCATGCCGACCGGGTCCCGACTCATTGGAAAACTTGTGAGTGGCCCAGCGTGCAGACAATCGCCGCCTCCTTAGCGCAGTAGGCAGCGCGTCAGTCTCATAATCTGAAGGTCCTGAGTTCGAGCCTCAGAGGGGGCAGTGCGCCAGGCTTTTTTGTCTTTTCTATAAGACCAAACGGGTCTTAGCAGGGTACTGACCTGTGATTTTCCACCAACTACTTAGCGAATTTCGCTTTTTAAAAATACCAGCTGGAAACAGCCTGGAGCGCTTCCTTGTGCCTGCCTCTTGCCACCAAACACCGCGGTGCAGAATGAGGGTTTGGGGTGAGGGAGGGCGCAGGGGCAGCGAGGCGTGAGCCGCTTCCGAATCTAGGACTTGGGGGTCGCTGCCCTTCCCCCGGGCTGCCTGCATGGCGAGGGACATCAAGCCTCCCCTGGCGTCGCAGGACGCAGGGAAGGGTGGAGAATCGCGGCAGCAAGGAGAGACCCGGGCTGCGGTCCGCCTGCGTCCCGGCGGCAGGGCGCACGGCAGCTCCCCAACCGGTGCTCCGGCTCATCCTGGGATCGAGGCTGGGGCCTCCAGTCACAATGCTGAGACTTCGTGGTTCGCTGGCTTTCTCTTAAGAGGGACCCCAGAGCCCCCCAGCCGAGGGCCGGGCGCCTAGCTTCCCACGCAGCCCGGGACCTCCAGGCTGGCGGCGTGGCTGCGCGCAGGTCGCCAGCCTCCTCCTCTGGCCCCGGGCCTGAGAGCAGGGCCGGTGCCTGTGCCTGTGCCTGTGGCTGTCACCTCGGGGGCCTGACAGCGCGCCCCATTGGAGCGCTGGTTGCTTCGGGCCCCGCCGGCCCGCAGGGTGGAGGCGGGGAGCTCAGCACAGAAAGGAGGCCGAACAAAGGAGGCGTCGTGTCGGGTTCGGGGTGACGGGGGCCCCTCGGACGCGCAGGCCTCGGAGCACGACCGGTGTGTGTGCGCCGCGCCCCACAGCCGGGACCCGGCGCGTCCACGGTGGTGACGAGTCGGAACTTATAGGACACAAAGTTAGAGGGAATCAGAGAAGGCCTTCACGGATAGTGGGAAGAGCAGCTGCAGGGAATTAAATTAGGACGTTCAGGAGCACGTGTGGAGACTCCAAACCCAAAGGTCCCTCAGCTGTCGCGAGGCTGCGGCTTGTGCCTCCTCGGCGGGCCCGGACTCTTTCGGTGCCTCCTCTAGGAAGCTAAAGGTGTAGCCCAGAGAGGTCTTCTTCTCCCTCTGGTGGTCTCTACTCCCGAATCTTCCTGGAGCGCTGGAGCCAAATTTTTGCCCAGCCAATTTCCGCTAACCCTTCAGCCCCCTATTGAACAGCACTTCCGGCGGGAGCTGCTCTCGTCCCGTGAGAAAGGCCGTCTCCCCAGCGATGCTGCTCCTGAAGACCTGGCCGGTGCCTGATGTGTGGCGTGTGTGTGTAAAGTCTGTGTCTCTTTAGTAGTCTGCCTCTTATGCCCCTTATTCTGACTTGTCTGTTAACAGGTTCCATGTTATTTTGCAACAAGAGTGATAGTGCCCAGACCTACCTAATTGTTCCCCTGTCCCGACGCTGTCCTAAGAGTGTGCTGTCCCAACATTACCCGGTTTAATCTAGAAATCAGGTCCTGAGACTCGTCCTCGTAGCTTCTAGTTTAGCGACTGTGTTTTCCTTCTTCCCGAGCGCAGGGCCCCGCAGAAGCCTGTGTGCTGTGCCATTTGTGAAGGTTTGGGGGCCCGGTACCGTTTTGTGCTGGAGCCCGGGCCAGAGATAGTTGTTTGGGAGGGATGAAATTGGCAAGAAAGAAGAACAGGGACAAGATAAAAGAGCAGCAACATTGGACCTGGGCCCGTGCGACTTCATCTACAATAAGGTAAACAAGGAGCTCTAGGGTAGAAGCCCGGATAGCTCAGTCGGTAGAGCATCAGACTTTTAATCTGAGGGTCCAGGGTTCAAGTCCCTGTTCGGGCGTTAGCTTTTTACTTTTAACTTTTTTTTGGGTAAATGTCCATTTCAGACTCGACATTTGAAAATCGGAAACTTCTGTCATTGTATACTGAACACTGGAAACCTAAGCGCTTCAGGGCCACGTGTGCAAATAACTCACTAGGGAAGTTAGAGGAAATAGGTGCACAGTTGAGACGTCGGCTGGAGGTCGCCTAAACTGAGAAAAATGAACCTTCCAGGAGCACTAGGGGGCGCGGCTGATGTCACGGGGCTGGACTGCGGTGATGGATCTACGCCGTCTTGAGGGCGAGTGCAGCCCAGGGCAGTGTCCGGAAGCGAAGCGGGGACCCGCCCAGGCAGCCCGCACCAGCGAGAGGGGCGCCCCCGGACGAGCGCACGCAGACGCGGGCTGTGACTGAGCGCGCCGGTGACCAAGGCCTGCGGCCCACGCCCCGCGGGCTCCGAGCCGAGAAACCTGCGGTCAGGTGCTGCGCCCAGCGGGCGGATTCAGCGTGACCGTGGGTGCACAGTCGCGGAAGTGCGGGAAGAACGACAGAGGTGTTACACGGAGGCAAAATTCACCAGAGAGGGCAGGCGGACAAAAAGCGAACTGCCCCCTCTGAGGTTCGAACTCAGGACCTTCAGATTATGAGACTGACGCGCTGCCTACTGCGCTAAGGAGGCAGATGTCAGCACTTACTTCCTATAGTCCTTCAGCCTCTGGCCCGGCCTTACCTCTGATCGCCTTTCTTGTAAAATTCTGAAACCTCAAAACCGAGAGCTTCTCTGCAGCTTGGCCGAAGCAGCGATCTCCCGGGCCTCGCTCACGCCCCTGCCGGCAACCGCGGCTACCCCTGGGAGGGACAGGTCCCGCCCTGGGGCGGGGCTGGGCTAGCCCTGGGTTTGGGTTTAGGTTTTGGGGGTGTTAGGATGATTAGGGGTACGAGTGGGATTAGGGTTAGAGGTAGTTATTGTGGTGGCGGTTAGTGTTCAAGTTAGGGTAGGGGCTGGGTTTGGGTTAGAGTTCTGCTTAGCGTTAGCTGGTGCCAGGTTGGTGTGGGCGGGGTTGAGTTAGCTTAGGGTGCAGTGAAGCTTGGCCTGGGATTCGGGGAGCTGGCCCTAGACCCGAGGCTCTGTGCGGGCATCGCAGGCCTCGGTTGAGGGCACTGCAGCGGCGGCGCAGCCGGCGTATTCACCTCTGTCGGGTTCCTGCGAGCGCCATCACCCCTCCGCCTTGGAGGCCTCGCCCGGAGGGCACCGAAGGCAGCTGCTGCTCCCTCCTCCCCGCCTCGGCCCCAGGAAGGCCAGCGGTTTTGGGTGAGAGTGGCAAAGGTGCAGGCCGTCCGACCCCTGCTGGTTTCTGTCTTTTGTCCCTGTTTCCCTGGCCAGGGGCGTGGTCCCGGTGGCTCTAAGCACGGAAAAGGAAGAAAGGAAATTCCAGCCTATGCTCTGGCTTTTTGCTGCCTACAGTGTATCAAGCCAGTAGTGTAGGCAATGAGGCTGACAGCAACAGCAACACCTCCCTCAGTTCTTCCATGCTTCAAGTTGGGACAGGGCCTTGAACGCTGTCTTCCTGATCCACACGAACGTTTGATGAAAGAATCGGAAGTTGAAAATGATTATTGACATGTTGCTTACATTTAATACAGACCTAGATCATTGTGCATTTCGCAGACAGTGCAAATATAAGTTTTGGCAAAGTTTGTGCAAACTGAAAACTTCTTACCACAGAAAATGAAAAGATAACACACGCTGAGTTGTAACAGGTACGTAAAAGTTGCTTGTGCCGAGAGCAGCGGTATCAGGGACCTGGCCAAGGACCCCAACGGCCTGTATGAGGGGAACGGGAAAGGATGAAATAAGGAACAAATTTAATAATACAAAATGGGGGGTGGGTGGGAGGTCAGTGCCTCGGGATGGGATGGGCAGAGACAAAGACTTCCGATCCAGCCACTGCTTATCAGCCAGTGTAGGGAAGAGGGTTGGGCGCTTTTCTTGGAACAGCGCAGGGCAAGGAGAGGATGGGCGAGTTTAGCACTATAAGGGAACAAGCCAAGACCCAACCTTCCCCTGGGTGCTCATCTCACTGACCGAGAGAGGAAGGTGATTTCTAAAAAGCCAGCTCACAAGGAGAGCTAAGACAAACGATGTCAGTTTACAAATCATTGTCCCCAATATGCTGGCCCCTCACCTGCGCCTGTAGACATCCAGTGGGTCACAAACCACAGGCCCAAACCTGGGCCTCTGACTTCATGTCTCCTTTTCTACCTAAACTTTGGGTCTGACTCCCACTCTGTTGGGGCACAATTATAGCGCAGGAACACACTTATAAGATAGCAAACTTACAGATATTTCATGATAAATCCTGTTCTGATGTTTCTGCTGAAATGAATTGACCTTGCTGGTGTCTGCAGCCCAGCTGAGCGCTGAGTCAGAGTAATTCTCTGCACCCTAAGGCGCCCTGGACTAATTCCAGGGCCCCCTCCCTTATGCTAATGCCCTTAACTCTGCTCACTCTGTCAGGGCCCCTGCCCTTGTTCCCAGCCTGTTTCTATATTATGATAAACAATCCCTTGGTTTCAAGACCAGCCTGCCTGTCAGTATAGGACTCAATATGTGTAACTAATTATGTAACATTTAGTCACTTGCTTTGTACCTCCCACTTGTAAATTCTATATGAACTAAACTCTTCCTAAAATCAGAGTTGTCCTCTTTGGAGAATTCTGCGACAGTCCACTGGTGTGAACAGCCAACAGTCCGACTGCTGGTGAAAAGATTTAATGCTGCCTTCTTATCTCCTTGGTGCAGTCTTTCAGTTTGATATGGCTGGAGAATTTTCTGCAACAACTCAGCTCTGCACATAGACGTGGTAATTATCTGAGGAGTGCTCCATTCACCCTAAATTTGCCTAATCTCTGGATTGCCCTTTTGAGGTTGAAGGCACCAAGGTAAGGGCAACAAAGATGTTTTCGAGATACACAGGGACATCATAAGCAATAGATTTTCACCAGCTTTTGCTACTTCCTGTTCCAGATCACATTAACAGCACCTAGAAGTCTCCAGTTTTAGGTAGATAGTTAAAAACCAACAGGCCTGAGAACAGAGGGTCAAAGCAACATGGAGTACTAGACACAGGTAAACTAGGACCTCGGGGTATAATATATTTGAAATTAACTATTAGTCTCAGATTATAAAAAGGGGGAACATACACTATTTCTTTCAGTGTCTACTTTTTAAATCCTGCACAATCAATCGCTGTGTGCCTCTTCTGCATGTGCCTGGAAGTGCTCTGTGATGGAAGCCAGCAAGCCTTGTGCCTATCCCACAGGTGGGGGATTGTTATGGATTAAAACCTGTTGGTCAACTTAGTGCCAGCTGGATTACATCAGCATGGCCCTGAGAGTAGATGTCCCACCTGAGGAAAGTTGCCAGCATAAATAGAGACTGTGGAGAAGGACAAGCTATTGCATTGAAGTGTTGAGGCATTGTGAGTTTTCCTACAAATTGCTGTTTGAGCCATTGCTTCCCCTAGAGGAACTCTGGTCCTCACACGGAGCATTGCTTCCTGGCTCGGAAGGTAAGACATGTGCCTCCAGGATGAACTCCTCATGCTGGCTTCCTGGCTTTTACTCTGAAAGGATTTTGCCCTAAATGTGATGCTCTAGTGGTAGGAGGCGCTGGGAGGTCACCTTCCCCGCCGCTAAGCAATTTACCTGTGGCACAAAATGAATTCCAATGGGCTACCTGTACATCAGTAATGCCCCTTAGGTTCTACTCCAAACTTAAACTACATGTGTGCCTCCACACCACGTGTCGGGCAGAGAGAAAGCCAAACCCCAGAGGTCATGGAGTTTCTCTCTGAATTCTTAAAATAAAGGCCACTTTTATCTCATATTTCTATCTTTTTAGCCATGCCCAAAACTCTTTCATTTAGTTTCCTGCCTGGGAACGGCAGACAAGTGACTCCTGGGACCCTCCCAGTCTGAGTCCCCTGCCGGTTCACAGACTGGACTGCATCCTGGATTAATTTCTCACTTCTCAACATGCAGGAGCTGCTAAACTTGTCGCTGCTGGCTTGCAAACAATACCAGTCTAATTAATTTACCGCAGGTGAGTCAATTCTGTCCAAAGATTACTCTGTAGTGGGCTGGGCCCCATGCCAGATTTTCCTTCCATTCCCTGGACTTGGGTAATGCTCTCATGTCCCTTGGGCAGCCCCAAGGCAGAGCCATTACTAATCTGCGGAAAATCGACTTGTGCCTTTTGGTGATGATCAAAAACATGAGTTTTGGGACCGATTACTGTAGGTCTAAGAGGCCAGGTGACCACCTGACCTGGTTAGATCACGGTCTGTTGGCTCACCTGACTGTGATTGGATCATGGGGATCACTTCCTGTCCCCCAAAAAACATACCTATGGGGTGCCTAGTTCAAAAGGGACCAAAAACCAAAAAGCTGATGTTTTATTTATAGTTTATCACACTGATGACAAGTTTGCAGAAACTCTCCATTTGTTTTAAGAATGTGTCCTTCTCTCCCTCTGCTCCTCCAGGATCCCTCCCACATACACTTAGGAGGTGGCTTCTTCCTTTACAGCTTCACCCCTATATCTCATACACCAAATCTTGCAGCTGTCTCAGCATCCTCCTTTCCTCCCTGCTTCACCCATTTCTCAGTCCCTCCCCACCCCACCTGCCTTTTCCCGTGAGCACCGGGATGAGGGCTGTGTGCCCAGGCAGCATTGGGCTGTGCACAGGTGGGGCAGGCCAGGCCTGCGCACACCAACCGGGCTGTGCAGGCTGCTCTGGGCTCTCATGCCACACCCCCTGCCCCCTGCCCCGTGCTCCCTCTCCTGCCCCCCACCAAGAGTCTCTGGAGCAGTCCCAGCCCCCACCCCGCCCCTGAATGTGAGCTCTGAGCGGCAGCCTGGAGGAGGAGACAATGGGTTGTGGCAGGAGGAAAAGTGGCCAATTCTTATTTCAAGAGATCTCTATTAATCTACAAAAGGGTCCACACCAGCCTTATTTAATATAGTTCAAATTGGCCAAGTATATTTGAGTGCACTCTGATTTTATAACATCTATCTGTTGTTCCTTCAGTCCGTTTACAGATCTTCAGTCCATGTTTGTTCATTTGCCTGCTCTGTGAACAGCTATTCCTTTTTGTTTGAGCTCAGCAATTTTTTTCCTTTTTCATATTCTCAAACCATTTAATCAAGTTTTATTTGTGTTATAGATTTAAAAAAATGTTTCCACCTAATTTGCCAGCTGGTCAAAATGGTGGTAAAACTGGTTAAATAAAATCTCTTGGGGTGAGGAGACATTGGACAAGACTTCAATTAATGAAGAATGGGAAAGTGGCCACCTGGTAATTTTACCAGCCTTGTTTATTGATCAAAGCCTGCAATAATCTCCATAGCCTATGGGTGACACCTCAACTAAAGTTCGTATGAGTAAGACAATTCATTGTTGCTGATCTGATGGTATATTCAACCCTTCAAATATATTGTTTCTGCTGTCTTTTTCTTGTGTTCCAGCCAAAAGATACAAATCAGACCTGTTGGGTCTGATTAGGTCACCAGTCAAATAATAATTTTTAAACAAAAATTTATATAATGTATGATGACAAGTGTTTTCTTTCAGATCCAGACATACACTTAGAGATGCTTCACAAACTTATTCAGTGTTCAAATGTTAAAACACTCATGGTTAATAGCCATTTAATGTTCTATGTTAAGCTTACTGCCTATGCTGTACTGTACTGCTATCAATCTTCTGGATGTTCAGCAACTGAAATTAAGAGATAATTATAAATTCCTTTTGGATTCCTTTTGCTGGGATCCATCAGATATTTTCCAGAAAAAGATTATATGACACATGCAAAACTACAAGACCAGCACTGGGGCAGAGGCCAGATTTGAGCCTTTCCCAGCCTGTCTGCCTGCCCTGGCTCAGCCCTCCACCGAGCCATAATTAACTATACTCAACTGGTGTTAAATGACACCGTAGCTGATCTCTCTCCTAAATAAAAAGGTAAAGTTGACAAAACAGGCCATCCTCCAAAAATCAGATAGCATTAGACATTCTAACAACATAAAGAGATACTTACATATGACAAATAAATGACATGTCAGTTCCTAAAATTCCCTGAACCTTATCCTCCTTATGGGAAGCCATTACTAAAGTTATGATCATAAATACCCTGTTGATTGTATTATTTGACTCCTGCATACTTAATTGACTCTACAGATACCTTCCATTGTGGGCCAGATTCCAAGACAAAAGGCTAAACTTGGCCCTCAAACCCCACAGGGAGATCTTAATATGGCTTTTCACATTTTCAACAATAGAGTTAAAAAAATAACAGTGTGATCTTTTAGCAGTGACACTTGGAGCTCTGAGACAGGTAAACTGACACAAGGTGGAGCTGCCTGCGCCTCTCCTGGACCATGCCTCAAATGCAGCAGAAGGACATTGGGCAAGAGAGTGCCCCATCCTGGTGTTCCTTTGGGGCCTTACCCCAGGGCTACTGGACTGTCCAAGCCTCCAGAGTGGGTAAGGCATCCTAATTTCTAGCCCTCACTGGAAATGCCAACACTGCCAGTTTCATCACTGACAGATCTGCTTGGACTTGCTGCTGAAGACTGACGGGGCTCAGGGTCCACAGCCCCTATTAAGGTGTCCTTCTCGGAGTCCCAAGTCCCACTAGAGGTCTCAGGTAAGACTATACTTTGGGACATAGAGGCCATGTATAGGGTTCTTCCTGAGTTTTCAAGGTGCTATATTAAGTCCTCAGTCTCTATAGGGGGTGTTGATGGCCAACCTATGTGCCTTTACAGACAGGGCCTATTTCATGCAGGTTCCAGACTCGCTTCTTCTCTGGTCAATCCCATAGTTTGAGGTACCTCCAATCCCACCTGTACTTCCCATGCCATGCCTATTTTAATTCATCTCAGAGATCCTTCAATTCTTTCTTGTGTTCCCCAATATCCCGTAGCTTCCAAACATTTACAGGGACTTAAATCTATAATTAAGTACCTTTTAGACAATGGTTTTCTTGAATCTACACATTCACCGTATAATACTCCCATTCTCCTGGTACTCAAGACTGATGCATCTTACCTTCAAATACAAGACCTTAAGATACTCAATAATGCTGTTACCCCAACCCACCCAGGGGTGCCAAACCCTTATACCATGCTCTCTCATTTCCCTCCCTCCACCACTCACTTTAAAGTCCTAGATCTAAAAATGCCTTTTTATTCCTTTGTGTTTATGCAGATGACCCAGACACTCTGAAGTCTCAACAGCTCACACCTGTTATCTCTAGTAAACCCTCTCCTCAGGGACACATAGCACCCCCTTCCTTTCCTATTCACCAATTTCTCAGACACAAACCTGGTCAAGACTGACAGATAAATTTTATACACATGCCCTGCCACAAAACTCTCAAATATGTTCTTAACTTTGTTTGTACTTTTTCAGGATAAATAAAAGCCTTTTCCACAACAGGGAGACTGCTGATATACTTACTAACGTCCTGTTACATAAAATCATTCCAAGGACTACAACCAAGGTGGAGCAGCCCATACTTGGTTTCTCGGCAACCTCAACAGCGGTCAAAGTTGTTAGACTGCCATCCTGGTTTCACATCACTCAGGCTAAGTGGTGCCCTCCCAGCCCTAGATCTAACCATCCCTTTGCTCACTCATCCCCACCTCACCAAGGCCTCACAGCCACAACTCTCTGGCTGTCATGTTTTGTTATCCAATTTGGTTCCTAATTTCTTACATTCTATTAATTATCCTTTTTACAGTAGGACTCTCAACTGTCTTTTGTAAAGACTCCTACATCATGCATACCAGAGACAAGTCTTTCCTACCTACCCTCTTAACTTTTACCCTCTCAGCTGGAGGAATAATCACCTCTCATAACTCCACTGCTCCTAACCCCAATTTATTTTTCAGAATTCTACCTCACCATGGCAATGATTCTACCTCAACATGATCCTGATAAAATGACATATCTGAATCAAAGGCACCTTTTCTTCTACCTCACTTGGGTCCTTAAATATGGTAGTGGCCTGCCTCCTCATAACACCTTATCTCTTTGTTTTTCCATCTAAAGTGCAGGCATTCATTCAGTGATAAAGTTGTCCTGGTTAAAACACCTGGCACCAACTTCTACATGGGCATCAACTACATCCCATTGACCCTCCTAAACCCCAGTACAGTGCCTCCTTTAGCAGGAAGCAGTAAAAGAAAAAAAAAAACTTCGCCCTTTTTCCTAATAATAAAAAGAAGGGAATGAAAGGATTTTGTCCTAAATGAGATGCTGTAGTGGTGGGAGGCGCTGGGAGGCCCTGGGAGATGAAAGGTCACCTTCCCCGCCCCTAAGCTATTTACCTGTGGCACAAAATGAATTCCAGTGGGCTACCTGTGCATCAGTAATGTCCCTTAGGCTCCACCCCAAACCTAAGCTACATGTATGCCCCCATACCACGAGTCGGGCAGAGAAAAAGCCAGACCCTGGAGATCATGGAGTTTTTCTCTGAATTCCTAAAATAAAGGCCTTTTTTAATCTCATATTTCTATCTTTTTAGCCATGCCGAAAACTCTTTCATACTTGACTGTGCTTATCGTCGGAGGAGCTCAGAGCCTCTCTGAGGATAGCTATGGTGCTTTTCCAGACAGCCTTGTTCTTTGTTGTGAGTGTGACTTCTCGGCCTCAGCATAGAACCCTCAAACCACCAGCACAGCTCCTTCACCCTGCTGCCATAGACTTTCTAGCTTCCACCGCTGATCTCTGGGCCTTCCTGGCACAGATCCATAAAAGAGAGTGGCATGAGTCCTTCTTGTGGGCTCTAGACCTCCAGTTGGACTCATGGGAGGCATTATGATGAGCTCTGGGTTTTTATTTGGACTCAAGGGACATTGCTGTGGGATTTAGGCCCTTGACTAAATGTCTTTGGTGTTGTGGATAGATTTCCTGCAGTTTCTTGTGTTAACTCTGGGTGACCATCATAAAAAATATTATGAACTCTATATCTGATTCTAATTGTTCTCTGAACAACCCTTGACTACAACAGGGATGTCACAGTTCCCATGTCTCCACTTGGAGACCTCCTTGGATCCTGTCTGGTGACATTTAAACTTAACGAGACATTCAATATTCAATGTGCCCTGGAATTTCAAAAATTAAACTCTATTTTTAAGAGATGGTCTCCCTGTCTCAGGCAGGCCTTGAACTCACTATCTCAGGCTGACCTGGACCCTACACAAACCTCCCCATAAGCCTCTCACGTGTTGAGGTCACAAGTATGTGCCATCACACCTGGATACATTTCAGACACTTAGACATGTTTATGATGTGATGAATTTTATAGAAAAGATTCAAAGGACCTGGCTGTCAAACAGCATGTCTACCAAAACAGGTTTCTAACTAAACAGGAAGACTACCTCTGGGAGCTGCATACTAATTCACATAGGATTAAAAGCTTGATGTTGTGCATGAGTAAAGGACTTTTTTGAGCATCATCATACTCTATTTGAGTCTGGATGACTTCCCTCCTCATGCCACCTTAGAGACCGTTTTGCCCTCTGCTCTGGCTGCCAGCCTCTGCTCTCTCTTCAGCAGTGGTGAGGTGGATTCCTTTTTCCTAGTGTATTAGTCAGGGTTTTACTAGAGAAAACAGATATAACATGAGATATACAAATGTATAAGAAATGACAAGATTGGCTTACAGTGGTCAGCCACAGGGTCAGATGAGGAAGTATGCAGAGGGTGTCTACATGCTGGAGGCTGAAGGATTCAATCCAAGGTCTGGAGTTCACCCTAGTGTCTCGTACAAGTCCACACCAGCAGGCTGATGGGTCTGTGACAGAAGGCCAGAGGCTCTACGATGGAAGGCTGAAAAATCTACACTGGAAGCCAGGAGATGATGTCCAAACCAGAGCTTCTCCCAAGAATGGAATGCATTCTTCCTTCCTCCTCCCCTTTTATACCTCCAGGTGATGAGTCACCCAGGGTGGTTTTCTACACCCAAGGGTGTGGAGTTGCTAAACCCTTTTAGTTAAGCTTCGAAATGTCTCAAACTGACACAATCATCCACTGCACCTAAGGAAAAGAAATTCATGGCTTGTTGCCTTTGCCAATAACAAAAATATTGGAGAGTGGGTGGCAAAGCTGTTGTCATTGGCATCTTTCACATGAGCCACATCAAAAGAGATGGATTATCTCTCCTTGTGATGATCACACTAATCCTTTCCAAGCTGGCACCTCCAGTCACCATATAACGGTTACCAGTGTCAAACTGGATGAATTCAGTACTCTTAGTACCCAAATCCACCTGCGCCGTGTCACTCCCCAGACTGTGTGAGCACTCTGAGTCACCAGATGTGGGATGCCTTTTGTTCCCACAAAGAGCTTTCTTACTTGGCAGACTTTGTACTTGGCCTCCACAATCCTCATGCAGTGAATGGCAGAGTGACCCTTGGGATCCCCCTCTCTAGTCCTGTCAGTGCTGGTGATACCATAAACTGGCAGGATAGGTTATTCTGCTTGGACTCTGCCTTTGGTCTTCACAATGTCTTGCATGCAAATCTCCCTGACTTCATGGCCTGTCTTGGCACAGTGAAGTCTGTTCCTCTGGACGATGCTGCGAGGCAGACATGCTCTCCGCATAAGGGGATCAGTGGATGGATGAGAAGCAAACGCACTGGTCAATTTACTCAGTATCCAGTGTTTTGAAGCTACCACTCCTTCAGATGCTTCTTGGGACCACGAGCCATGGCTGCACTGGGAATGCAAAGAGCACAACTGTTTTGCTGAGGGGATAGTTAGCTGACTCTTATCATGCTGCGCGGCATGGGAATCCGAATGTTCTCGGCTTGATTGCCTGTCAGCCTAGGACAGCACTGTTTTACCATGACAAAGGCAGATATGGATGTGCTAAATGTTCACATTTCACTTATACAATACTGGAGTAAGAAACAGAAGGAGTAAAAGATATGCTACTCTATTATGGGACAGAACGAATATAAAGCTGTTGTTTTAAGTAAATATAGGTGTCTTGGTTACTTTTCTGTTTTTGAGACAAAACACTTGATGCCCAAAATGAAGGCAAGAAAGGTGTATTTAGCTCACAGTCTGTGGCAGTGTCAGTCCCTAATCAGCTGGCTCCAAGGCAGGATGTGTGGCCCCGAGGAAACAGTTCATGGTGGCACAAGACAGCAAAAGCAACAAGAGCAAAACAGAAGGAGTGTACAGAGGACACTCCTCGTCCTGCTGTAGTCAGGGGCTGCAGAGAGAAGTTACAGTTACATACAGGACACAGAATTTGTAATATTTTATGGTGGTCACCCAGAGTTAAACACAAGGAATTGCAGGAAGTCTGACCACAACACTAAAGACCCAGAATACTCAGCCAAAGGCCTGGATCCCGTAGCAATGAGTCCAGCTGAAGACCGAGAGCTCGTGACAGTGCCTCCAAGTCCACCTGGAGGTCTAGACCCACAACAAGGACTTCAGCAGGTCTATTTTATGGATCTGCGCTGGGAAGGCCCAAGGTCAGCGGTGGAAGCTAGAAAGTTTGTGTCACAGGAATGAAGGATCTGTGCCAGGGGATTGAGGGTTCTATACTGGATCCAAGAAGCAACGCTCAAAATAAGGAACAGGGCTCCCCTGAAAATTATCACAGCCATCCTCAGTCACAGTGAGGTCCTCAGCTCCTCTGATGATGCGAACAGTTGAGAACATGTTAGGAAGCCAGTGTAACAAATTTCTTCTGGAGAATAAACAGCAAATATCTTCGCCTCCAGAGCCAGGAAATGATGCTGAAAGTAAGGACCAGAGCTCTCCTAAAGTGAACCACAGCCACTCAGTGACAAGGTCCCAAACTCCTCAGAGAATAATGGCCATATGGGGAAGGTAGGCATGACAAGTTCCTGCAGGAGAACCAACGGCTCCACACAACAACACTTAGGAGAACTCACAACATCCCGCTCTTCCTCTCCACGTCTCTTTTTGTGCTGGCAGCTTTCCTCAGGTGGGTCATCTACATACAACACCATGCTGAGTTAATCCAGCTGGTGTTATTGACCACCAGTTTAATCCATAGCAGGTCCCTTACATGGTATGTAGGCCTCACCCACCCTACAGTTAGCACTCACACCTATAATTCCAGCTTTGGACCACGTGTCCTCCACAAACTCTAGAAGCCTGCTCCCATGACTGCCTGAGGCTCTGGTGGGGGGCATCCAGACTCCAACCATAACAACAGGTAATGTCTGCTGAGGTACTTTGAGTGTACTTTTTTTTAAATTTTAGATTCGGTCTCACGCTATAATTCAAACTGGTCTCAATCTTGTGGCGATCCGCCGGCCTCAGACTTCCAGCGGCTGGGATTACAAGCGTGCACCACCATTCCTGTTCCACTTCTATTTTATTTATATTCTTTGACATTGCGCTTATATTTTACATTCTTCCCTGTGGAGCGCAGCTGAGCTGGATGGAGATCATTCGACCACTCCTTTGGAGCAAGAGCAAGGCCCGCCTTGAGAACAGGAAACGCCAGAGGGGAGCCAAGTGAACAGGTTGTTGGGACTCCAGCACTGCTGTCCAGCACGTGTCCGCCTTGGAGCTCCTCCCTGTTAATTACAGCATGGACAGCCCCAGAATGTCTCACTGTCACTGTTCTCGGCAGAACACCGAGCCCTTGCACTTTTGACCCCATCGCCTGCTTACCGCCATTTTACTGTGTATAACTAAAGAGGGAGACTGAAGACCGAGCTGGGTTGGCACTGCCCCTCCATCACAGGCCGGGTCCCGCCCAGCCCCAGCTTTCCTCTATGTGTGTCTAGTTCTCTCTTGATCTCCATGGCCCCCCCTCAGGACCCCGCTGGCTGCAGGGGTGGCGGCACTTCTTTATATTTATGTTATGTCTTATATTAAGGTAGCTTAAGAGTGCAAGCAACAGAGGTCCTGGGTTCAATTCCCGGCAGGAAAGAAAGACGAACGGAAGGAAAGAAGGAAGTGTCGCATCCGTCTCTTGGGCGGCCGCTGGGGTCACAGGCTGAGCCCTAGTGGAAAACTGGAGGGACAAGGTTCAGAGACAGGAGGACACTTTATTTGTGAAGAGGAGGGAGACAGGAGGAGGTAGAGGGCTACCCTGATGAGAAGGAATGGGGCTGGGGCTCCGGAAGGATGGGGCCTGGCAGGGCTTTATTCTCTGCAGTGTATGGGGGTGGTGAGTGACCCTCCTCCGCCCGGAACTGGCCATGACTGAGTCGGCTTCCGGGCGCCTCTGCTACCCGCATTTCTCTGGCCGCGTGTGTGCGCCTCCGGTCTGCTTACCTGTCTTCTTCGAAGTACTTTAATTTTTGGGTGGGCAGCTGGCTGGCAAGCAAGTCTCTAATTCTTGGTTATTTTACAGTTAGTAAGGGGCGGGTGGGTGGCTGCTGCACTCTGTGAAGCCCTGAGTGACTACACTGGTGACTCCGGAGTGAACGCACGTGTGCACGCGTGCACACACCAGCGCACAGCTGGGCACACGACACTTGGGTGCGAGCCGGCCCCTTGCTCCCCTGTAGTCTGCTGGAGCAGGCTGCTAGGTCTTGCTGCCCGGCTCTCTCGAGGTGTCCGGCCCCTCAGCTCTTCCTCCGGGGTCTGGATGCAAGTTCCAAGGCCTCTTGGTGCCTCTCTTTATGGGGTTTTTCTCTTTTTCTACCCATCCTTGACTTGCTTCCCAGGCGAATCTCTCTAGTAAGGTGTGTTTTAATCCTAGTCAGGATTAGCTAGAGGACCTCGTGGGGCCTCTGTTTTACTGTCTCCAGTACAGACCACTGTCCTTACAGGAGTTAAGAGGAGGATGGAGGGGAAAAGAGAGGAGGGGAGAGAAGGGGAGGGAAGAAGAGGGGAGGGGAGGGAAGAAGAGGGGAGGGGAGGGGAAGATCATTGGGCCCCACTGTAGACTTGACAGCTTCAGAATCTGCATTTGATTTTGATACACGAATTTGAACTTTACGGAGCCGACTCAGCAGTCCTTCACCTTTTCCTTTAAGTTCAAGGCTATTTTTAAACCAGTCTGGCAAAGATTGCAAGGAGCAGCGGGTTAGGCTCATCGGCTTCTGCAGCTCTTGGGCGGGGCCCCCAAATCACTTCCGGTGGTAGGTGGGGCCTGGCAGGCTGGAGCGCCGGGGAGCCCAGCGATAGTGGGCGGTCCCGACTGGGTTGGCGGACCCATCGCAATGGGCAGGTCCTGGCGGGGTGGGCGGTCCCAGCGTGAGTGGGCGCGTCCCGGCGAAGTGAGAGTCCCGGCGGGATGCGCGGGGTCCGCACTGTCGCCTACTTTTGCTGAGAGCTTGCTGTCACTCTTGGGAAGTTTGGTAGCTTCTTAAAACAGGACGGCATAAGCACCGTCCACCCTCTGCTGGCTTTCTCGGCGTTAATCTTATAGGCGTAAGTAGTACTGAAATGTCGAGGCAGTAACAGAACGGCCAGCTGCCCGTCGGTGAGTGCGCGTACCACGCGTGGTGAATTCAGGGAGGCAGAACACTAAGGGATAGGAAAAGACAGGAAACAACTGTGCACTCAACAAACGGAAGGGGAAAAGAAACCCACGCGGAACGGGTCCAGGGACAACGAGCACGCCCACGTGCGCGCCCTAGCGCTGCGATTCCTGCACTGTCCCCGCGAGCTCCACGCATCGCGCGCGGCCACGGCTGAGGTCGAGGCGAGGCAGCGCGGTTCCTGCAGAGGCGCCCATCTTCTCTGTCGCCTGCTTCCTGAGCTCGATCCTGGCCTTGACTGTCGCGGCAGGGGTGCACGGACACGCGCGGGGGTGCTGAGCATTTGAGTTTTGCGTTTATTACTACGTGATTACACGTGACTACATTCTAGCAGGGAGCTGTCCTGAGTGCGCATGGGTTTCTGCTGCTCTTCATAGAGGCGTGTGAGCCTACGCTTACCCACGAGAAACAAATTGAGTCAAAACCGCTCATCTTTGAGAAGCAGCTGATTCTGAGGTCATGGGAGGGCGTGGGAGAGACCCACGAGGAACACGGATGGAGGTGGGGCCTCAGCTCAGAGGTCCTGTGAATCATCTACGGAAGGCGGTGCCAGGCGAACGCAGAGCCCACGCAGACCCTGCTGCACGGGTGGGTGCTTGGGAGGACGACTCCAGGAAAAGGCGTAACGGATTCAGCGTTGTGCAACCTGAGACCGACCGAGCAGGAGTTCCCCCGGCAGTACCGACGCGGGCTCGAGCCGGAGCCTAGTACCGGGGCTGTGCTGGCAGGACGGCCGTGTCGTCGCGCATTTTGCATCTCTCTTATGAATACGAGGAACGAGGGCCCTTTTCTGTCGGTCATTTGTAGAGTGTGAATGAAAAAATATATATATGAGATATTAAACAAAATAGAAAATGTAACGGGGTTGCCGAAACCCGGGATCGAACCAGGGACCTTTAGATCTTCAGTCTAACGCTCTCCCAACTGAGCTATTTCGGCTCCGCCTCCAGCTTGTCGCAAGGAAACCTAATGGTGTTCTCACCAGATTCCTGCGCGGCTGCGCCTTCATTTAGTGACCAACACGGCTCGTGCTCTGAGGAACCTGAGATAAAGAATGGATTCTGTCCTCGAATGGCTGATTGTTTTGTGAGGAGAAAGGCAAGGAAACGACTCTGAATTAAGTCATAAATTCCGCAGGTTTGGCTTCTTTTTCATTTCTCTAGCTCTGGCGTCCTGAGCACATGTGCGGCTTTCAGTTCATAGTAATTCGGCAGAGACCTCTTAGCACCTTCCCTGGTGGTCTAGTGGTTAGGATTCGGCGCTCTCACCGCCGCGGCCCGGGTTCGATTCCCGGTCAGGGAAAAGCACTTTTTTGCACCATTAAAACCAATCTCTTAACGATTACCCTTCTAATTGTGGGCAAACTAGCTTTTCATTTTCCCATCAGCGCTTTCTATGTAGAAACCGGGGTCCAGATTTGGTATACCAAGTACAGAACGCCAAGCGCTGTACTGTCCAGTGATTTATAAGAATTTTGGACGTATCTGATCCTCTAACCCTGCCACTGTTCTAGGCGTGTTGAGAGGGTTCAGGCACCGCCGAAGCTGGAAGGGACAGGAACTGGGGAAGACTCCAGTGCAACTGAACCGCAGTCTCAGGCCCAGCTTCGGCCACTCAACCCCAGCAAAGAGCGGTGAACCGTCCCTGAGCGCTCGCTCGGCGGCGCTGGGGACGCACGTCAGGGGGCGTGGCCCGCTCACCTCTCCCTGAGCCAGTGCTGCGCGCCCTCTGCTGACGCCGAGGCCCTGGTTTTATTGCGGAGACCGTGGGGCCCAGCGCCCAGGCCTCCCTCCCTCAGGACTTCCCCGAGCCCCTTCTCCATTTGACACGGCAACATAGGGACTGCCCTAGTGATGCGGCCCAGGCAGAACCCTGGGTCCCGATCTGCTGCTTGTTGAAAGCGTGGTTCCAGTTTCCTTCTGGGGCAGCCAGATTTGCTATGAACTGTGACAGTCCTTGGGCCTGTGGGTGCCCAGCGGGGAGCGAGACACCAGCGAGGCCTGACCTTCATCTGCGACCTTTGCGACTGGAAGCTTTGGATCAGCTCTCTTTTTGCTTTGCACAGGGGCATGACGGTCGTTTAGTGCCTGTCTAGGTGGCGGCAGGCACAAGGCTGATTAGCCCTGAATGTGCATAATTTCACCCATTCAAGATGAAGACACAGGATGGGGACCTTCAGGGGCGTCCACCTGCACCCGGAAGTCCCCAGCCGCTGTCCGGATCTGTGCTCGCCTGGACCTCGGGAAAGGCGGGGACCAAGAGCTTAGACCACTGCTGGCAGAGGCCGACTGTCCTGGAAATGTCGCTCTAACCGGTCACTGCCGAAGAGGTGGAGGCAACCAGCTTGGCGCCCCGAAATCTGAGCCCTGGGCGTCCTTTGTTGTTTCTTTATAGAGGGGTTTTAGCTGGGGAAAAAGCAGAAGGGGGCATGGTTCATCAGTTGTTTTGTTTAGCTGGCCACTTTGGTCTTAAATTTCAGCATCCCAAAGTTTTGTTACCATCATGTCCCTCCTCTGAAGGACATACAGTCCTTCCCAGCGGGGGTTGTATCGGTGGATTGTGGTGACCCGGGTAGTGGCCTCCTAGAATCTTTTTTTTTTTCTCCTTGAATCTTATTAGGGTGCTCAGGAGACACTGTCCTGTTATCAAAAGTAACAGATAGAGTGGCTCCGCTAGCACTGTGATGTCCCTTGGGCTGGGATCCAATTCCAGCCTTCTCCTATTTCTTTCTTTCTCCACCGGATCCTGTCCCTCCAGTCCCTGACCTTTGTAGTGACCACTCCTGACTGGTTTACACAATAGGAACGTGTTCTCCTAGGAAGATGCATGTACCTCCCTTCTTGTGGTGACAAGGTCTAGGACTTGCCTCTTTTGTAGAGCTGCCAATGAAATAATCTGGTTTTGGAGGGAGACTAGTGAGCCAGCACTTGTGACCTGCATGGCTCTTGAGGTTTTTGTGATGAGGACCACTAAGGGCCGTGGGGTGAAGAAATGAAGACTGATGGGAGAGAAGGAACTGATCAACCAGTGCAGCATGTTTACTTATACACTCAAGAGGAGGATGTCAAATTTTTTTTTTTTTTTTGTCTTTTTCATTTTTATCAGTACCAGGGATCGGACTCATGACCACAAACTTGCAAGGAAGGCGCTTATACCGCTGAGCTAAATCCCGAGACCCTGAGGAGGGGGTCAATTTTAACCCCACTGCCTAGCAACTCTTCTGCCTCGCTGGTCTGGGCCCCCTGCTTTCTTGGAGCTGGAACAGCTTGTTTATGTAGCTTGTTTAGGGGTCTCTGTGTTTTCAGGGCTGGCCTTGCTTTAGCCCCACATATTCGATCAATCTCCAGTTTCAATGGCTTTCTGCATGTCCCTATTTCTTGTTTTGTTGTAGCATGGGATGGATGGTTAGTTGGAGCTGGCAGAGCTGTGTTTGAAGAACTTTGTGGAAGACCTTTTTATTTTTGAACACTTTAAGTGTGGTCTAATAATTTTAAGTTTTGGTATTTAGTAATTTAACTCCGTATAGTCTATTAATCTGTAACAGTGTAGCTGGCAAGTGTTAGACAATGTTAATGATTTAAGCTTTTTTCATAGCTAACATTTATTTTGTTATATATTTTGTGGGTCTTTTTATAGGATGGTTAAGACCAAGTTAGAATGAGGCATGTTTTAAGTATAATCAGACTTTGTTATCTATTAAGGTCAGTTAAGTCTCCTCAGAAAATGTGTTAGTTTGTTCAATAGTGTTAGTTGTCTGGATGATTTATGAGCTGGATTGAAAAAGAATTACAATAAACAATACTTGCATCCCAATATTACGAGGAATTACTATTTCAGTATTCTCCCCTTTCAGGTCCCTCTGACCTGAGAAGGCTCCCTTGATCATACTTGACCCAAATATTCTCAATCAGAAATTGAATGCATGTCAGTTTGCTCCATTAGGATTGTTACAGTCAGATGATAGTAAATTGTTTCTTTCTGGTGCTAGCTGATGGAGAAAAAAATTTTTTTTTTCTTTTGAGACAGGGTCTCACTATGCAGTTCTTGGCCTTGAGCTGGCCAGTCTTGTGAGCCATTTTGCAAAGAGGTCTTGAAATGGCCTTGAGCTCACTTTGTAGCCCAGACTGGTCCTGTGCAATGATCCTCCAGGTTTACCTTCCAGAGAGCTGAGATTATAGGCTTGTGCCAATATGTCTGGCAATGGAAAATTATTAAGTCTTTACATCATACCTTTCACTTGGGAGAGACAAAACTCACCAGATGGCCTCAAAGTTATTCATAGGAAAGGGAATTTCTGAGACAATACAACAGATAATTAGTACATATGATATCTGTCAAAAGAATAAGCCTCTTAATCAGACGTAGTTCCTCCAAGTATGCAGAGACATGGTAAAGACCCTGGTGAATGGCAGTTAGATTTTAATCATATGCCAAAGATTAAGAGACTTCAATACTTATTAGTTTGGGTAGATACTTTCACAAAGTGGGTTGAGGCCTTTCCTTGTAGAATAGAAGAAGTGCAAATGGTGGTAAAGTCTTTGGTCTCAGGAATCACTCCCAGATTCGGACTTCCTAAGAGCTTACAGGGTGACACTGGACCTTCCTTTAAGCAGCAGTCACACAGAATGCCTCTCAGGCACTGGACATTCTCTATCACCTCCATTGTGCATGGAGGCCATGATCATCAGGAAAGGTAGAGAAAATGAACGAGGCCTTTCAGAGACCTCTTTGCAAAATGGCTCACAAGAACCACCTACAGTGGCCTCATTTACTACTTCTAGCAACATCAAAGTAAGAAATACATCTCAAATTTCGCCTCAGTTCCTTTGAAATGCTTTATAGATGCTCTTTTCTCACTAATGATTTTTTTTTATTTGATAGAGAAAAGGATGCCTTGCTGAAGGATAGCACCTCACTGCTAAATTTCAACAGACTCTTCAGTTAATTGAAGCTCAGCCTAAAGAGAAGGGGAATCTCATATTCCCCAGAGATTTAATATGTAAGGTCTCTTCTCTCATCATGTCCTTCCCTAGGACCAATTTGGGAAGGACCATACACCATGATCCTGTCAACTCCATCATCTCCTATGTAGCAGGCCTGGACTGCTGGATCACACTTGACTCATGCCCTGGGAACCATCCAAATGTAAACAACCATCTGAATACTCCTGTGAACCCACAGAATACTTAAAACTCTTTTTTGGTACCAGAGATTGAATTTACAACCACATGCTTGCAGGGAAGGTGCTTATGCCGCTGAGCTAAACCCCTGGCCCTAAAATTCTTGTTCAAGAAGAAAACAAAGTCTTCAGATAAACAATCTAAGATATGACTTTTAGCTTCTTTACTAATTACCACTTGAAGAAGAGTGCAATTTCTTTCAAGTGTGGGCACAGTAATGTGTAGAATCATTAAAACAAACATCTTGCTGGATATGTGGCCTGCTCCCCTTGTCAAGTACATCAGAACTTGCTTGCTGGGTATTCCCACTTTAAGGAGATGATTGGAATAAGCTACATTGATGAATCACTAAAAAGTTCAGTTTTTAGTTTAGCCCACCATTACGAGGTAACTAGTGACCTAGAAACTACAGCTTTAATGTTTCTGGATGTAATCAAAATTTTTCTAAGGATGCCACTGAAGCCTTTCTATAGGCTTTAGTGAAATCCCTATTAAATGAGTAAGGGTCCTGTCTTGAGGGCCAACAACCTTAGATATTAAGATGGCTATTTTCAGACAAGGGATGATTATCTATGGTTAACCTCCATTATAGAGAGGCCTCCCTTAGTAGAGAGGTTCTCTTATGTTGGGAACAAGGGAATCACTCCTATTCTCATTGGCCTAACTCTACTAAATACATGGGAATGATGTTTTCCAAGCAGTGCATACACACCATCACTTTACAGGTCGAAGACTGGTTTGCAACAGCCTGGTCTAACCACGATGGAATTAGATGGGAAGCCCCGAGTGTGACTCATTGTTCCTGTGGAACTGATCTGTGGTCTGGCTACTTCTTGGATAGTTAGGGAGATGCACATTGGAACTTGTGTGATTACAAGGCAGAAGTATCAAAATATCCACCAACCTGTAAACTTACCCCATCTATGACATCAGTGGTCTAGGAGCATGTTTCACCTGTATGATCAGTGACTTCTATCGTTATCCCTCCCCTAGGATTAGAGGATATCATGAACATATCAAGGCTTTGGCTATTCATACTCAGCAGGCCTTAAATGACACTGCAACTGGACTCTCTTTCCTAAATAAAGAAATAAAATGAATGTGGCAACCCATCCCCCAAATTGGATGACATTAGCCATTTTGACTAATAACAGAAGGAGCACTATTTAGGTGAAAATATAAATGTTACAGGTACAGCTAAATCTCTTGCATACTCCTCTCCAATTTGTTCCTCCTTTCTTCCAGATTAACTGCTCCCTGAAGGTTGATGCTAGCTCTAAGCGTGTTTGTGCACTTTTAGTAGAGATGCGGGCCGCTTCCCTGTGACCACGGCCCGTTAGGCTCAGGGATGGTTCCAGGTCCACACCGGCCAGGCTGCTGGGTTTCCCTGTGAGATTATTCCACGGGAATAATCTCCCGTGGAGGGAAGATCCACCAGCAGGCAGGGGGGTCCTCTGCACACGGTCAGTCTGCTGGCAGGAGCACGGCGGGCCCCTGATGCCTGAGGCTGCTGTGAAGGCGGCGGCATGTCCCGTGTGCTCTGGAGCCCTCCACCCCCCAGCTGGCGTCCTGGGCGTGCACGGACGCGCGAGGGCTCTGCCTGGGTCACTATCCACGCGGAAAGTTAACAAGAGTGGGGTGGAAAAACAGCCCACGTCAAATCCTACGTTAAAACTGACACCTCTGTGAAACACTAAGTACTTTTTACGTGTTGTTTTACTTCCTCATACGGTCAGGCTGCGCGGAGCACAGCGGAGGGTTATTCGCTCCACAGCCTGTGGCTCCGAGGCGGGAGCCTGGCCGAGGCCCGGGGCGGCAACGGGGAGAGAAGGGAGGCCGAGGGAGGAAGGAGAGGGGGGCCCTGCAGGCCCCGCCCGCGGCGGCCGCCTCAGACCAGGCCTCACTTCCCATCAGCACTCAGACTCAGCGGACAACTAGACCGCTTAGGACTGTTACGCTAGGATCCCGCCCGCCTGACGGATTTCCCCTGTGTGCTTCCCAGTTAGCGTGGGCCGCACAGCACCGCCCCTCGGCACTGACTTCCGCGTGCTTCCAGCAAATCCGGAACCTGAATCTCCTGCTCTTCCGCGCAGGCCAATGCTCCCCCAATCAGCTGTCAATACGTCATTCTGCCCGCCCCCTCTACGCCCCGCCCTCTCTCCTGTCAAAACCAAATGAAAGAGCCGGTTTTCTGTCTTCCTTGGCGGGTGCTTGCCTCTCTTCCGCAGCCCTCCTGTGGGGAGTAAAGGCCTTTTTTCTTTCTCTTGTTTTCTCTCCTTTTGTCTCTCTCTCACATCCAAGGACCAAACACTGCCAATTCCCCGGACCCTACTTGTGAGAGCAGTAGGGTTAGGGAGGACATGGTAGATGGGAACCATAACTCCTATCTTCACTGTGTTTAGTATATTTGATAGTTATATATTTGCCTGTTGTTCTTGACTGGTCTTTTTTCCCCCAACAGATTGTGCGTCTCCTTATCATTCCTCTGTATTTCCTATGCATTTAAAGTTAAACATTGCACCTAGTGCAATTTTTGGTGCCCAGTGGGGTATTTAAACAAAAGAGTTGACTCAGCTTCCGTAGATAAGGCTATTTTCCCATTCATTCTCTACACTCTGGTTTAATTTTTTTCTTTTACTCACATTCTTGTAGAACACTTTTTAAGACTCAAAATTCTCTTCATGGCAGCTTTTACATCTTTGTTTCTTAAAGTGTAGATGAGAGGGTTAAGGCTAGGTGTGACGATTGTGTAAAAGAGTGTGAAGAACTTTCCTTCTTCTTGGGATGTGGTATTTTGTGGTTTCATGTACATATAAATGACTGTTCCATAAAACAGAGTTACTACCGTGAGGTGGGAACCACAAGTATTCAGCACTTTCCTCCATCTTGCTGCTGACTTGATCTTCATTACAGTTTGAGTGATAACTCCATATGAAATGAAAATTAGTGACAGAGGTGCTAGAAGAAATGCAACGCCAAGAGCAAAGACAACATATTCAATTACTTTTGAATATACACACGCCATCTTGATCAAGGCTGGCATCTCACAGAAAAAATTATCTACTTCCCAGTGCCCACATCTTGGTAACTTTAGAGTTAAAGAACAAACAATTAAGGCACTGCCAAGGCCACCCAACCAGGATAACAGCACCATCTTCTGGCAAAGCTGAGGGTACATTATCACGGTATAGTGCAGAGGCTGACAGACAGCAGCGTAGCGATCATAGGCCATCACTGCCAGGAGAAGACATTCTGTGGCTCCCAAGTCCAGGGCAAAGAAGAACTGGAGCACACAGCCTCCATATGTGATTGATCTTTTTGGACCCCACATGTTTACCAGCATTTGAGGAACAATGCTAGTTGTGTAACAGAGGTCCAGAAAAGACAGGTTGGATAAGAAAAAATACATAGGAGTATGGAGGTGGGCATCTAGATAAGATATGGCTATGATGGTTGTGTTTCCCACCAGAGTCACAATGTAGAAGATGAAGACAAACGTAGAAATGATGGGCTCTAGTTGGGGTTGATTGGAAAAGCCCAGAAGGATGAAGTCTGTCCCCAGACTTCCATTTTTTGTTTCCATGGCTCCTATGGAAGGCTGAGAAAAAACATTGTAGTAACCAAAAAGTATCAGTCTTAGACACTGCAGTCTCTGTCATTCATAATGGATATCAAAACTCACATCACATGTTTAATTTTTCCTATTTGGAGTGTCTCTTTTAACATTTGCTTGGTTGGTATTCAGTGCCCAGATCTTCTCCATATTTAATTGTATCCAAAGTGATTCTAAAATAAAATGCTTTATGCAACCATGGAGTATTGTAAACCACTGAAAGGAATCAGTGTCTCACATCTGCCAGGATACTATGTATTTTGGTTAATAGTGAAACCATGAAGTTAATAATATAATTTTAAAAGAAGGATATATTTTGAGGACATTTTTCCCTTAAACTATAACATTATTATCTGATACTACTTAATTAAATGTGACAATCTTGTTCCTTATTTAGAGTAGAACTTTAGACAGATAGTTAAATGACATATTTCCTTGGGCTAAGCTTCATTGTTCTATAACAAAATTGCTTTCCAAACTCACTTCCAAATGTCTACATACAAAACATTATAGTGATGATCATAATACAATGAGCATCCATGTACTCCTCATATTTTTATTTTCCCTCAACATGGCTTTAGATATCATAGTTATTGTACCAGTTTTGATGTTTCCTACTATCCTGTCTTTTTTTGTTAGTGGGTTTGTTTTTGGTTGCTAAGAAAGAAAAGTTTCCTTTTCTTATTACTAAACTTACATGTGTAGAAGCCATTTTGGAATACCTTTCATGTCTAATATTACACAGTTTAAGCAACATTATGGAGCTGTTGCAGAATTAAAAGTTGAATTAATTCCAGGAATATTTGTCTGCTATAATGACATAGTAATGATCACTTTCAGCTCCTCCTCGTATGGAAATTGCCCAGAATTTTCCAAGCTTGTACTTTAGACAAGAAAAAGTTAATTAAACAACCAGCAAGTGTTTTCGTTCTCATGGAAATTGTCAGTTTTATGAATGGATCTTCTGGTTGCTTTTCAGCCTTTATGTAAAAGCATCATTTTCTTTTGTTTCTAAAAAGTACAGAGAAGCATAAAATCCAGCAGCATGTCATAACCTCTCCAGGGCCTAGAATTGGAATATCTGGAAAACACCAACTTACCAAACAGTAAAGGGAAAAAACTTCCAGATAGTAAGCAAAAGCCAACAGAAAAGCCAGAAATCACAGAGAAGCAGGAGAACCTGAAGATAATGTAAGGAAAAAGAAGGAAGCAGGCTGGAACACTAATCCTGACACAAAGGGAAGGGATCTGTCTCCGAAGACGGAAGGCAGGTGCAGGGAGACGATGAGGGGACCTGACTGTGTTACCTCAAGAAAAAAATTCACAATTGTTTTAAGCTGCAAGAACACTATGAGTTTTTTTTTTTTTTTTTTTTTTTTTGTCTTTTTGAGACAGGGTCTCACTATACAGTTCAGGCTGAACTTGAGCTTTGTAGCGCAGGCTGGTCTCAAAGTTGCAAAGATCCTCCTGCCTCAGCCTTCAGAGGTCTGGGATTACAGACATGTGCCACCATGCCTGACTCAGCAGGGGCTTTTACTCTGAAAATGACTCCTGGGTGACATGCTAGAGTTGGAGAAGAAATCCACTGTAGCACCCACCATATTAGTCAAGAGCCATTTTTGCATGTAGTTAAGGGTTTAATGCTGAGCTACCTTGGAAATAAGAAGCCACAGAGCCACTGTACTACTTTCTGCATTTGTGGTGGCACGCTTCTGGTTGAGAGGGCCACAAGAAGAGCTCCCAAGAGGGGATAGGTGGAGACGTTTAAGCAGCGGGGAGTTCTGGAAAGAGCATAGTCATTCTGCTCTCTCTGCACAGAAGTGAGACAATTTACATGTAGATTTTGGAGGCAGAGGATTCTGAAAGTGCTAGCTTTAACTCCAGTGGACTGCTTGGTCCTCTTCACTCTGCTGTCCCAGCACAGAGGTCAGTGGTCTGCTTCATTTCTTCACTAGCCGGCTTCATCAGGGCTATGCCTTGGCTTGGACAGAGGCCACACCCTGGGGCACAGGAACTCGAGGTCTCTGGAGCAAGGGGGGCACTGGCTGTAAAGCTGGGTGGACAACAGTCACTTGGCGTGTTTGGAGGGACGCGGTATAGGGAGCAGCGGGAGTGAATACGGCCCTAAGGCAGATACTGCTCCATTCACTGACTCCACTCAGCAAGAGCAGTGGGGTCAGACTCCATATTCACACATAAAATCGTGAGTGTGGAAATTAAAGAAGGCTTCGAAGTGGCTCAGTACCTGCCTTTCATAGCCAGTGGATCCCGGTACTGCAGACCATGGAAAGCAACCTGTTATTCAAGCATGCAGAGGAAGATTTTGGATTTATTTCACTTTTTGAGTTTTCCTTTAGTCTATTTTACCCATTTTTCTTGTCATTTACTTTTTTGTTACTTGCACCTATTAATTTTCTTTTATTTTAAATTTGCTCATTTATCTCAGTTTTCTCTCCTCACCTACCTTTTCTTAATTTTCAAATTTTACTCCTTTCTGTTTCCCTTCCCTGAATTTCATTTAGATGTTTATCTGAAGGGCTCTGGGCCTCATCCTGACCGTAAATGTTCACAACACAGCTCAGTAGTAATCACTTCTTTGCTCTTTCTTTCTTTCTTTTTCTTTTTCTTTTCTTTTTTTTTTTTTTGCTTTGAATTACTTTCATTTAAATCTTACAGAAACCTGATTGGAGTTAAGTATGTAAGTATAAGTCCAGTAACAATTTCTACAAAAATGCACATACAATGCCAGAATTTCTTAAAAGCAACTAATCCCATACTTTAATTTTGTATAAAACATGCATTAATTATCAACTGTCACATGTTGACCAAAATCGGTCTCTATAAGAAGAGATGGTCCTATATATAGTCAATAAGAAAACCTGTGAACAAGAGGGGAAAAAGAGTTTTTTTGGTTAATGTAAATGAAGAAGCAGTACTTTCAGAAACAAGTCCTTCAACACTGGGGCAGTTGGACAATTGTGCTGCACGGTGCCGTGCTGCCCCGGAGATCTGGTCCCGAACTGTCCAGGAAGGAAGGGGCTTTCGGATAGTTAAGTCGGACACTAGAGAAGACACAAACTCAGGAGAGGATGGAATACGAGAGCACCACTTTGCAGGAGAGGTTCAATACATCCTCAGACATCTGGAAGATGTGTTTGCAGATACCCTGTGCTTTTTAACTGAGCCCTCTCCACATGGCCAGCTATGGGTACACAAGAATCTCCCACAGTCAGAGGACCTGCTGGCCCCACACACCGGTCTTTGGGAGTGCCTATAACTAGGAGGTTGAAAACCAACAAACAGGACCTGGACCGTTTCTAAGTGGCCTTGACTTTTCAGAGATCTCATTCACCCTGTCCAGAGGTGACTGGACACTCGTGCACCATGGCTGCTGCTGGGCACAGATGCGTGTGGTCCCAAAGCCACATGCTTTGGCTAAGACACCTCAGAGTGTCATCTATTGTCAGGAAAACCTGGGTTTCATCAGAAGGAACTGAGGGCTCTGTATTTACCAGATGTTTTCCAGGCAGAAAGAGATTTCCTACCAACTGAAGGGATGTTCCCTCAGAAATGAGGTTCTACACAACATTGCGCGAGGATCTTCAGAACAAGACCTCCATCATTGAGAAGTGGCTGTGGACATTACATTTATATACCTACACTCATCATTCATGAGGCCCAGGAATCTCCCAGAAAATCTGTCTTTCAAAGCTGGGAAGTCACAGCTCCTGGTCACTACAAGCAGCTAAGTCAGAAACTATGTGTCTTTAGCACAGATTTGAGGAGAAAGATAATAACTTATTAGGGTTCTAACAACACTTTCGAAACAGAACAGTATCAAATATATGCTTGAAACATACACATAGGAATAACCCTGATAATGTTAGGAAATCTGGAGGACTTTGTAAACCATCAAGATTTCACAGGATCATTCTGATATCCAGTCATTTTGTAGGCAGCAAAAAGGGTACTGGCAGACTTTTCCCAGGAAGTCCTGTGAGTGCTACAGGATTGAATTCTAATATTCGAATGCCAATAGAACTGTGAATGAAAATTTCACTTTACTAGTAGGATTTGTAACAAAGATTTGCTTCTTTAACCTGGGTATCTATATCTCTGCCTGCAATGGACCTCTGGGTCAAAACCAACCAATCAGTCTTGGATACTCCAAGTTCCTAGACCCTTACAAACTGGGACAAACCTCAGTCAGCAGGGAGGCAGAAGGGCAGGCAGCCTGAGGAAGCTGTGACCAAGGCACCGAGATCGGGAGTGGGGACAGAAAGGGGCTCAGGTGGACAGGAAGTGAGCCTTCTGCAATGCATGGGCGGGGGGTGCTGGAAGGCAATAGCTCTTTGCTTTGTCAGGAAACAATTTGCATTCCAAAGTTTTAAACTGGCTGTTTCCACAATCAAAAAGACAATTTCTTTTTGTATATAGCTCAAATAATTTATGGCTTCCATGCCATTCATAACTGCAGGCCAGACAAATTCCTGCTGGTTTTTCTTCCTCTGGGGAGCAGGCACTACAGAGATACCACGAGCTCTAGCTCCGACTGCCGCCCGCGCACCCCTCAGCCTCAGCTTCCTCGGCTGTCACCGGGACCGCAGCTCTGCCCTGGCAGAGGTGGGAAAAGCGACTTTTCTTTGCTTTCTTTGGTTAACTACCTAGGTATACATCCATAGATGATGCTGTAGACTTCTGTTTGTAAGGAGTTAGATCTGTCTTTTAAGTCTCTTTCTCTTACTGTCTGAGACACTGTCTCCCGACTGCCTGGAACTGGTGCTCTTCTTGCCTCAGTCCCTGGGATTTTAGGTGTCTGCCTCCGTTCCTGCCTTCAAATCGATTATAATGTTAGAGTCTATGATCAAATATACATTTGGACTTTTTTTTTTTATAAACAAAGCATCTACATAATGACTTAGAGAAAAAATTAGAAATGTAAAAAATTTAAAACTACCCAAGTATCTTTT